CATAATGTTTTTATTCATTTCATAGTTTCCTTACCCCAGGTATCATATATCAATGCAACTTAGAAGCAGAGGTTCCAAATATGAAGATATTTCGTGAAATTAGTGTACCTGGATTTGATCGTCAGGCTTCAATGTTGATCAGGTAAGTGACTGTTGCTGATCTGTTACACTTTGATGCTCACTCATTAGTTGTTTCCTTCTGTTAATGTTGACTTATTTCCTGCTTTTTTCATTGATTCTTTATTAGAGATCATCTTTGAAGCAGATAACCTTCTTGCAAATTGCATCTGTTTGATTGGGAGTTTTCATTTCCAGGTTTTTTATCCAAGTAAGGATGGTACCAGGATACCAATGTTCATTGTTCCAGAAAGAATATGCTCTAGATGGATCACACCCATGTTTGTTATTTGGTTATGGCGGTTTAACGTTAGTCTCACACCCTTCTTTAGTGTCATTCGTACTATACTCACAAGCATCTTGGTGTTGTATTCTGCCTTGCCAACATTCGTGGTGGTGGAGAATATGGGAAGGAATGGCACAAAGCCGCCAAGCTTGCTAAAAAACAGACTTGCTTTGATGACTTCTTTCTGCTGCCGAGTACCTCATATCTGCTGTTTATACTCAGACCAAAAAGTTGTGTATTGAAGGGGGAGCAATGGCGGGCTTCTTATCGGGGCTTGCATAATCAGGTGACTATTTGCTTATTGTAATTTTTGGTTTTATTGTACTGATTCTAAATTCATACCTAACTTTGTTTGGTCGCAGAGACCTGATCTTTTTGGTTGTGCTCTGCCCCTGGTTGGGTGATGGACATGCTGCGGTTCCACAAGTTCACCATTGGTTAGTCTTAGTTATTTGGCTTTTGCTGTGCAGCATTTTCTGTTTTAGTATCATGCAAGTATTGATTAAAAGCTACTTTGTAGGCCATACATGGACTTCTGAATTTGGTTGTTCTGAGAAGGAGGAAGACTTCCAGTGGCTACTAAGTGAGATACAACATCCCATTTCTGAAAATTTATATTTCTGCTATAGATATTGTAGCTTTATAAAGATTGGTAAACTTTTCATTTATAAGATAGTGCTTACCTCTTATCACCATTAAAATGGCTTGGATTAGTCTAACGTTCATATGTTTATTTCCTTCTCTTAAGGTACTCGCCACTATAACGTTAAAGACCATGGAAGCACGCCCGGATCTGCTCAATCTTGCCAATGCCAGTACCCACCTACCATGCTTTTGACTGCTGATCATGATGATCGGGTAGTACCGCTGCACACGTTGAAATTATTAGCGGTAAGATGATAATTGTTACAGTATAAGTCTGGTTTCTATTAATCCAATGCGAAGATGATCTCTCCTGCTGATAATTTGCTTTCAGACAATGCAATATGTTCTGTGCACAAGCTTGGAGAATAGCCCTCAGACCAACCCATTGTTGGACGCATCGAGTGAAGGCTGGACATGGAGCAGGACGTCCCACACAGAAAATCGTAAACAACCATTTATTCCTTGTCTAATTGAGTTCCTTCATTGTTATATTCCAATATTACCTTGGACTTTCCTACTGCAGATCGAGGAAGCAGCTGATCGTTATAGCTTCATGGCAAAGATGTTAGGTGCTTCTTGGATTGAGTAGTAGATTATTGCCACGCCAGAAAACGGGAGTTCCTACCTTTAATAAATTATCTAATGTCTAATCTAATCGTACACGTATCACAATTTTTGTTTCTGTTTTTTCTTCCTTATGATCGATCACTAAGAATACAAATTAGACTAGTTACTACTTACTATCACAGGTCATGATTTAAACATCCTTTTTAAATAAGAATTAGAAAGGGTTTATTTGCCAATTGAATCTGTGCCGATGGTACTTACCTAGCTAAACTTGTATGTGAAATTTGCTAAAGCTTAAACCAATAATTCAGCAAGATGTCTTATTGTCAGTATCAACATAAACAAAAGCCATCGACTGTAAATTGCTTCCAACTAAAAAAAAATCTTGCCTAAAGTAATATGCAAGGATAATACAGTTTAGATACATTGGCTTTTGGGGGAAAATGAGAAACTAGGTCGAAAAAAAGAGGCAAAATAACTTGATTATCTTTTTTCTACTACAATAGAACATTTCTATAGAGATACTCTATATAGGAATAAACTCTACATAGTCATAAAAAATTCTAGTCTAATTTGAAATATTATAAAAATAAACTCCATATTGTAATGTTATAATTTTTCTAATTCCCGTCTTAAGGAAATTCCTACATAATAATAATTATCTGTATATTACCAAAAAATATAGTTATATTACATTAAATGTTTAAGATGAAATAAATATTTTCTAAATTGTTTGGGACAATGATTTATATTTTAAAGTTGTTATCAATCTTTTACCTTACTAGTATAATAACTTGCTAGCATGGACACCTTTTTGTTGAAACCAAAATATTTTAGCTTCTTAACATGTTTGGAGCTTTATGGCACGAAACTTCTTGTATTTCTGTACTATCACTCTTTATGATTATTTCTTTTATCTTTCTCTAATTTAGCAATGATTTTCTTCTTCGATTAAAGCATACACGATTTGTTGCTCTTAGATGATCAGGAAGACATTATATCTATCCGATTAGTGTAGTGAATTGTCGAATCTGATCACTCATTTTACAATCTATTCTATTTCTTTGCTACATATTTGCAATAACTCTTTATTTTCCTCGTCTCTTCATTTGTAACTTGCAATTATCGAAATCAGGGGTCCTAATTTGCATGGAAATTATCTGTGTTCACATCAATTGACATGTATAACTGATTTTTAGTTTCATTAATAACACTTATCTTTGTTGGTTCCAAGACTGCCTCTATCCATTTCAAAAGTAGCAATTGAAGCGCTGAATTAAAATCCTAATACTACTAAATATGATTGAATTCAATATTATACACTAAACATGAATTAAAATAAAAAATTAAACTATAATTTTTATAACTACACTTCCATTAAGTTTAAACTTCCTTATAATATAAATTAGTTAGCCTACCATTATACTATAGAAAGTTTTACTTTATATAATTGCTTCAAGAAATAATAAGAACCTTTTCCATTTCAAGGCGTTAAATGCAAAGGCTGTGCGAAACTGATTTTGGAGCCCTGTTCACCTCATTCAGTCAGGAAACAATCCATTTTCACTTCGTAACATCGAGTTGCAGTATCTCTGCTCTGCATCCCAGAATTGATCCAACCTGAAAGACGGGGAAAAAGGTCCAAATAATTAGAATTTCTCTGCTGATTGAACATTATAATCACACAAATTTGATGCTCATATAGTCGTCATACAACAGAATACAGAATGAGGGTAATATAACGCCGAAAGGAAAGAGAAAAAAACAACAATATAATTCAAACATTTTTTCAACTGATAAAATTATTAATCCATACCTTGGAGTGGTGCGCCCAAGATCCCCGTGAACAAATTCCTTAATATATGTTCCACCTGCAATTCAAATATCATCATTACTATTTCACCAGATAGACTTACTTCAGTTTTTAGCACAGAAAGTACAAAATATTCGAAGGCCTTCTATCTGTTTTGCCCTTTAACTAAAGTTCCTACTAGTATTATGCTTTAACAAAATGATCTCTACTCTGTTACATGGGATTGCATCAAAAAGCATGACTGTCAAGTTTGCACATTTCCAGCTATCACAAAACTTGATATTTCTTTACCAGTCTCAGGGTTATCAACATTGTTTCTATCACACGTGCCAAGGATTGAAACCAATGCCAAATCATTATTCATCAAATAGCTTTGCGTACATAAATCAGTGACTAGATATAAGGGTACACAGATAGAAATAAAAAAAATTACCTGAGTACACAGATGCAAAGAAAATACTGAGAGCTCCAGCAATTCTCGTTTTTCATCCTAAAATTAAACATATAAGCTAAAATTATTCTAAACTGGTAAACCACTCCAGAGCTATAATATTGCAATCTACATGATTGAAGAGGCTCAAACCAATGTATAATCTTTCACGTTCTAATGGACTGCGACGGTGTAGCACCCCTTATCGGGGTCCTCTGCAAAATTTGCTGCAGAGACCAAAAAATGATTTGAGTTTTAATAAACAAATTACTTGCCAAGCAGAAAACCCAATGTTTTTTATATAAAAAACTACTTGATGGAAACCCCATGAAAATAGCTGAATACAGCATAAGAGCCGCCCGGATCTTTCGCAATTGAACTTAGACTAAATTGTATATATACTTTTCTTTATTGAACAGAACAGGCTGGCACCCCCCACAATAAAAAGATGTTATTCAAAAAGCATGATAAATATCAAAACAGGAGTCATGTTAAATACCATAGACACACTATCTATCATAGGAAAGTGGCAACGAAAATTGTATAACAACTCACCATTTCCTTGAGAGAAGATAAAGTCTGCAAGTCTTCATCCTGAAGAGGCGAATATCCAAACTAATGCGCATATTGCTTCTGCAGAACAATGGTCTTAAGTCAGCTTATTCAATAAATTCACAATTCAGAGAGACAATGAAAAGATGACTACTACATTTATTAAAAGGACAAATAACCTGCTTCTCTGCTTCTCCTTCACGCATCAGTCCCAACCCTGACTACCTACTGCTTTAAGATTTTTCACCTTAACCTGCATCAGAAAGTACCTTGTCCGTGAATGATGCTCACTGATAGCCAGAAGGGAAAGGAAAATCATCACAAACTTGGAATTGAACTTACTAATTTATTTTCCAAGTTATTTATCTTTGCTTCAATTTCTTTCACAAACAACTCAATGGGACTTGGCGTGCATTTTGTCCTCAGTACCTAGGCACGGAAAGCTTTCTGAAAGTATACTTAAGATTTTATTTATAACAATTTTTCAAGTAAATAACATTTCCCGTCACCTTTTATTTCATTCTCTACCGAATGAGTGCCTTCTTGCACTAGAGAAGTATTAGATATTAGATTCTCTACCGAATGAGTGTCTTCTCAAACTAGAGGACCATTAGATGTTTAGATTGGGAGTCTAATTTTAGTATGTGTATTTCCTTTTCTCAAGGTATTCGCCATTACATAATGTCAGAAGACCATGGGAACAGCACCCGGATCAACTTTGCCAATACCCACCTACCATGCTGTTGACTGCCGATCATGATGACCGAGTAGTGCCACTGCACACATTGAAATATTTGGCGGTGAGTCCTTGATCATTAATATTATGTTTGTCTTGTTTGTCATATTTTATTTGCTTTGATTTCTGTACTGCAAAAGAAATTGTCAACAACTGTTTAGCATTTTTGTGAGTGTGCAACTCCTTTATGCACTATCTGTCGAATGTCATATACCTTTCAACATTTCACATTTCTGTTAACACTGTGAGGAGACAAGTGCTTTTTTTGGATGTCATTAAAAATCAAACTAAGATCCTTGTCACCACAATAGTTACCCTGTGTAGCCATTGTGAATTTGGACATCACCGTGTCTAGTCCTCTCTCATGCTTCCCATTTTTTTTTTCCAACAGACAATGCAATATGTTCTGTGCACGAGCTTGGAGAATAGCCCTCAGACCAACCCAATTATTGGTCGCATCGAGTGTAAAGCTGGACATGGAGCAGGACGTCCAACACAGAAAATTGTAACCATTTCTTTTATGATTACTTGAGATTTGAGTCCTATATATATATTTTGTTTCAAGTATTTACCTTGACTTTCCTACTGCAGATCGATGAAGCAGCGGATCGATACGGCTTCATGGCAAAGATGTTAGGTGCTTCTTGGATTGAGTAGCTGATGTTGTTGCCACGCAAAACGAAGTTGTTATTGTTTAGTAAATAATTAAATGTCTAAATTGGACGAATCAACAACTTTTTATTTATTTATTTTTCTCTATATTCTTATTTATTGTTGAGTATACAAATAGAGTAGTCATCACATGTCGACACAATTTTAAACTTCCGATTATTAATTGAAGCATTAGAAGACAAGTTTTACCTGAAATGTGAACCCGTACCATTACTCCCTTGGTTAAACAAGTTTGCTGATTTAACCCATGATAAATATTTTATTTTCTTTTTTGATAATTGGGTTGTTCGGATAGCTTGTAAACTCCTCAACTAATTTTTAATATGATAAGTGATTATTTTGCGAGACTTGAATATAAAACCTTTGAGTAACCCGTCCATATAGTTGAAGTTTTGTCATTTGACCACAAGTCCAGTGGTTACACCATATGTATGGATTATGCACATTGATGTGCGTTGATTATGTTTACGATAGTTTACGGATTAAATTGTTAACATTTCGTCCATTAAAAATTGTTAAAACCTATTGGAAAACTTGTAATTTGTATTATTACCCAGCACTACTCTTCCCCTTGTTACTTCGAATAAATTATTCTGATTTCGTTGATGCCTGCATTCGTACCTTCATTTACTGTGTTTGCAACTCTGGTATCATATGCTATGAGTAGGGGTAAGCAGTTTCAGGTACCTTGTATTTTTCAAGAGAACTATAATCAAAACCGCACAATACAGGTTCCCAAAAAAAGGAATCGGAATCGTACAGTACATGTTCTTAAATTCAAGGAACATGAACCTAAAATGCAAGTTTTAGGTTCCGATTCCTTTCCTGGGTACCCTGTAAAAAATCAATTACCCCTATTGGTTTTAAAAATGACAAAAAAATACCTTAAAAGTTTACAAATACACCCCTAACAAATTTTGATTACTCATTTATTTGTGTCCAATGTGACTTATAAATCCTCTAATCTCTAGGCAACACTTGAATACAATCAATTCATCACAATTCACATAAAATTCCTCAATCAAAACCAAAACACAAACAATTAATTAAATTAATTAAACAATCATACTACAAATCTATAATTTAATATTATAATTAATTTAATTTCTAATAATTTAATTTAGTATTGTACTAATATTTATAATGGAATATTATAATTAATTAATAATCATACTATAAATCTATAATGTAATGTTATAATTAATTAAAGTTTTAATCATTTAATTAAATAATGTACTAATATAGTAAATTACTAATGTTTATAATGTAATGTTATAAATTTATAATTAATTAAGTAATAATTTAATTATGTAATGTTATAATTAATTAAGTTATTATAATATAATGTAATGTTGTAATTAATTAAGTTATCATACTATAAATTTATAATGTAATATTATAATTAATTAAATTTCTAATTATTTAATTAAACACTGTACTAACGTAGTAAATTACTGATGTTTATAATATAATGTCATTATTAATTAAGTAATCATTTAATTATGTAATGTTATAATTAATTATGTGATCATATTATTATGTAATGTTATAATGAATTAAATAATCATACTATAAATCTTTAATTTAATATTATAATTATTTAAATTTCTAACCGTTTAATTAAACATTGTATTAATGTTTATAATAGAATGATATAATTAATTAAGTAATTACCTAATTATAATATAATATTATAATTGATTAAGTAATCATTTAACTGGTAATGTATTAATGCTTATCAATTTATCATATATAATTAATTAATTACTAATTTATTACGGCTGTACTTAGAATTTGATAATTGAAGTAAATATATTATTATTCAATCAAATATGTTATTTTATTCGAAAATAATTCTTTTAATAACATTAAAACACTTTTAATTGCTCATAATTCTAATTATACACTTAATTAATGAAAACTTTAATGTTAATATATTAAAGTTTTCAATATGATGTAGTTTATACGTAATAACTAATAAGTATAATTACACATTTATTTAATTAGGTTATTGTAAAATTTTAAATTGTTTCATTTTAAATATTTTTACGTGTCCCGTTCTTCACAAGTATTTTATTTTAGTGTAGGTTCCAAACAGGATATTCGCTGAAAATTCCAAACTGGATACCCACGGTAGGTTATCAGATATGGTGTGGCACTAGCTGTGTGTGCATGACGATGTGTGCATGACGACTGTGAGATGACAAAAACAAAGTTATCAGATATGGTGTGGCAGTGGCACTAGCTGGGATAAGCTAAGGATCCAATTCTAAAATGAAATAAAGAACTCTTGACAGTTACATTACTCCAATGATACGGTAGCTTGAAAAGAAAGTAACCAAGATTCCACAAGCAAATGGCGACATAAACATGAAATAGCACAAAATGACGACATTTTAAACCCACGTAATCAACCTAAGTTATGAGCATGTCCTCATACTCTCAACACCCATGGGCTTTTAGTAATTTTTTCCGTTTTACGCGCTGGCGCTGCTTTAAATACAAGACCAAACCTCATTTGAAGTTTATTTTAAATTTACTCCATACATAATGCATTTCAACAACAAAACCATGGGTTCCCTTTCTGTTATTGACGAACCTTTGCAGTATCCGGTTGCTCGTAGAGACGACTCTGTTGTCGATGATTATCATGGAATCCAGATTCCTGATCCTTATCGATGGTAATCTAATAATTGCACATTTTGAATTTACTTTGACCGAAATTGTTTCTGTTGACCGTTTCCTTTCATTCAATATCAATTTGATGTTTTTGTATAACGGATATAGGCTTGAAGATCCTGACGCCGACGAAGTAAAAGACTTTGTGCAAAAGCAGGTGAAATTGACAGAATCGGTGCTTGAGAAATGTGAAGTAAGGGAGAAGTTACGTGAGAAGATGACCGAGTTACTTGATCACCCTCGCTTCAACGCGCCGATGAAGCGACGAAATAGGTATTTTTATACGCAAAATAGTGGACTTCAAGCACAAAATGTGCTTTATGTTCAAGATGGTTTGGATGGAGAAGCAAAGGTTTTACTTGATCCAAACAGCCTCAGTGAGGATGGAACAGTTTCATTGTCCACTTTTTCAGTTATCGAGATCTAATTTTTGGCTTATGCGCTTAGTTTGAGTGAAGCGATTGGCAGAAAATTCAAGTAATGCGAATCGAGGATAAAAAAGACGAGTCTGATACTTTATCTTGGTCAGTTTATTACATTCATTTTTTTTTTTTGTTTTTTTTTAATAATGATGATTTATGCCTCATGATTCCTGCACTGTGCTGTTACAGGTTAAGTTTTCATATATTAGTTGGACTCATGATACAAAGGATTTTTCTACAGCCGTTACCCAGCTCCCAGGTGAGTGATCACTGATCACCATCTGCATATTTTTAATACAATTTTTTTTTTAATTGTGGATTTAAACTTGAGCGCTACGTGGAGCTACTTGAAAGTAAACGTTTCCGATGTTGGATATAATTCCTTGTAGGTGCCTCGAGGAGATTAGAATCTCCAGATTTTCTAGCGGGAAAAAGTGTCATATTCACCAAAGATGTTTGAAACAACTTAGGAGAACTTATCGCTTTGATTTGTTTATATATATAGTAAAATTCGGAAGGAAAATTATTAGAAAGGCTGATATTGAAGTTTCAGCTGTAAATTCACAGAGAAACTTCTTGAATATTTCGTGAATTTTGAACTCCGTAATAATTTTGAATTTGTTTTGGCGAGATGAATCCGTTTTGTACGTTTATTTTTATTTTGTGTTTTGAATTTTGATTATGACGATTATTTTCTGTAGAGAGGGAGAAAATATAGATGCTGGGACCGAGACTGATTCAATTTATATCACGAGCTTTACTATCATTTCCTGGGTACTAATCAGTCAGAAGATATTTATGCTGGAGAGATCCTGATAACCCCAAGTACAGGTTTATGGGAGCGTTACAGAAGATGGGCAGGTAATTTGCTATTATCAATTTTACATCAATGCCTGTTTAAGATAGGTAATGGGTGTTAGATCAGGGCCATTTTCTTCATATTCTTGGTTTAAGGGTTGTCCTTAGAAACTGTAACTTCAGACAAAAAAATAAAGTCTGCGCTGCATTTTCTTTATATCATGTGTTCCTTGCAAATATTCTATCCCTTAGTATGAAATTCTCTTTTTATACTACTACATAATATTGGAATTCTAAATTAATCATAGTCTGGTTATTGGAAATTGATTTGAAAGGACCTTTAAGTGCAATTTGGTGGAGATTATAAAGATAATACTAATGCATTTATTCTATGTTCTACAAAATGCAAAGTAGCATTGAATTTGTAAGGTGCAAATTTTATTTCTGTAGTATAGTAGCAATTTGAGTAATTATTTTGAAGAACATAATAAGGATGAACGTTTGGTTGAGGTACGGCAATATAAATGTTCATTGCTTTTATGTCCCCAAAAAGTCTATTTTGATTTTACTATGAAAATGCAAGTTACACTTGTATTCTTAGCAAGTTAACTTTTTTTTTTTATGTTTCTTGTAGTATGTTCTCTGAATATAGTTGAGACTGTGACCCAGTGAACAAACTATACTACTGTGACATGTCTGCTTTGCCAGAAGGCCTTGATGTTATAGGAAAAGAACTGGCCTTCTCCCATTCGTTAAGCTTATTGACGGATTTGATGCAGAGTATAGACCGATTGCGAATGATGAAACTGTGTTTACTTTCTCACTAATAAGGATGCTCCAAAATATAGTTAGTACGTGTAGATCTCAAGGAGCCAAGAGTGGTCTGATGTTGTCCCAGAGGCCGAGAAAGATGTGCTTGTATGGGCACGTGCTGCTAATGGTAGTCAAATGATTGTGAGTTACTTGAGTGATGTGAAGTATATTCTGCAGATAAGAGACTTGAATACCGGTTTTATGCAACATCAATTACCAATAGATATCGGCACAATCTTAGGATTATCAGCACGGCGTAATGACAGTAATGTTTTTATCATTTCAGTAGCTTCCTTACCCCAGGTATCATATATCAATGCAACTTAGAAGCAGAGGTTCCAAATATGAAGATATTTCGTGAAATTAGTGTACCTGGATTTGATCGGTCAGGCTTCAATGTTGATCAGGTAAGTGACTGTTGCTGATCTGTTCACACTTTGATGCTCACTCATTAGTGTTTCCTTCTAGTTAATGTTGACTTATTTTCCTGCTTTTTTCATTGATTCTTTATTAGAGATATCATTCCTTTGAAGCAGATGTAACCTCTTGCAAATTGCATCTGTTTGATTGGGAGTTTCATTTCCAGGTTTTTTATCCAAGTAAGGATGGTACCAGGATACCAATGTTCATTGTATCCAGAAAAGATATTGCTCTAGATGGATCACACCCAGTTTGTTATTTGTTATGGCGGATTTAACATTAGTCTCACACCCTTCTTTAGTGTCATTCGTACTATACTCACAAGGCATCTTGGTGTTGTATTCTGCCTTGCCAACATTCGTGGTGGTGGAGAATATGGGAAGGAATGGCACAAAGCCGCCAAGCTTGCTAAAAACAGACTTGCTTTGATGACTTCATTTCTGCTGCCGAGTACCTCATATCTGCTGGTTATACTCAGACCAAAAGTTGTGTATTGAAGGGGGAAGCAATGGCGGGCTTCTTATCGGGGCTTGCATAAATCAGGTGGACTATTTCTTATTGTAATTTTGGTTTTATTGTACTGAATTCATAAATTGCATACCTAACTTTGTTTGGTCGCAGAGACCTGATCTTTTGGTTGTGCTCTGCCCCTGGTTGTGGTGATGGACATGCTGCGGTTCCACAAGTTCACCATTGGTTAGTCTTAGTTATTTGGCTTTTGCTGTGCAGCATTTTACTGTTTAGTATCATGCAAGTATTGATTAAAAGCTACTTTGTAGGCCATACATGGACTTCTGAATTTGGTTGTTCTGAGAAGGAGGAAGACTTCCAGTGGCTAATCAAGTGAGAATCAAGCAGTCCCATTCTGAAAATTATATTTCTGCTATAGATATTGTAGCTTTATAAGATTGGTAAAACTTTTCATTTATAAGGATAGTGCTTACCTCTTATCACCTTAAAATGGCTTGGATTATGTCTAACGTTCATATGTTTATTTCCTTCTCTTAAGGTACTCGCCACTAAATAACGTTACAAGACCATGGGAAGCACGCCCGGATCTGCCAATCTTGCCAATGCCAGTACCCACCTACCATGCTTTTGACTGCTGATCATGATGATCGGGTAGTACCGCTGCACACGTTGAAATTATTAGCGGTAAGATGATAATTGTTAACAGTATATAATCTTGGTTGTCTATTAATCCAATGCGATAGATGATCTCTCCTGCTGATAATTTGCTTTCAGACAATGCAATATGTTCTGTGCACAAGCTTGGAGAATAGCCCTCAGACCAACCCAATTGTTGGACGCATCGAGTGCAAGGCTGGACATGGAGCAGGACGTCCCACACAGAAAATCGTAAACAACCATTTATTCTCTTGTCTAATTGAGTTCCTTCATTGTTGTATTTCCAATATTTACCTTGAACTTTCCTACTGCAGATCGAGGAAGCAGCTGATCGTTATAGCTTCATGGCAAAGATGTTAGGTGCTTCTTGGATTGAGTAGTTGAGGTTATTGCCACGCCAGAAAACGGGAGTTCCTACCGTTAATGAAATTATCTAATGTCTAATCTAATCGTACACGTATCACAATTTTTGTTTCTGTTTTTTCTTCCTTATGATCGATCACTAAGAATACAAATTAGACTAGTTACTACTTACTATGATCACAGGTCATGATTTTAAACATCCTTTTTTAAATACAGAATTAGAATACGGGTTTTATTGCCAATTGAATCTGTGCCGATGGTACTTACCTAGCTAAACTTGTATGTGAAATTTGCTAAAGCTTAAACCAATAATTCTAGCAAGATGTCTTATTGTCAGGTATCAACATAAACAAAAGCCATCAGACTGTAAAATTGCTTCCAACTAAAAAACAAATCTTGCCTAAAGTAATATGCAAGGATAATACAGTTTAGATACATTGGCTTTTGGGGGAAAATATGAGAAAACTAGGTCGAAAAAAACGAAGGGCAAAATATAACTTGATTATTCTTTTTTCTACCTACAATAGAACATTTCTATAGAGATACTCTATATAGGAATAAACTCTACATAGTCATAAAAAATTCTAGTCCTAATTTGAAATAATTATAAATAAGAATAAACTCCATATTGTAATAAGTTATAATTTTTCTAATTCTCCGTCTTAAGGAAAATTGCCTTCACATAATAATAATTATCTGTATATTACCAAAAAATATATGTTATATTACATTAAATGTTTAAGATGAAATAAAATATTTATCTAAAGTTGTTTGGGACAATGATTTATATTTTAAAGTTGTTATCATATCTTTTACCTTACTAGTATGTAATAACTTGCTAGCATGGACACCTTTTTGTTGAAACCAAAATATTTTCAGCTTCTTAAGCATGTTTGGAGCTTTATGGCACGAAACTTATTGTATTTCTGTACTATCATCTTTATGATTATTTCTTTTATCTTCTTCTCTAATTGTAGCAATGATTTCTTCTTCGATTAAAGCATACACGATTTGTTGCTCATTTAGATGATCGAGGAAGACATTAATATCTATCCGATTAGTGTAGTGAAATTGTCGAATCTGATCACTCAATTTTACAATAACTATTCTATTTTCTTTTCGAATCTAATCACTCAATTTTGCAATAACTCTTTTATTTTCCTCGTCTACTTCATTTGTAACTTGCAATTCATCGAAATCAGGGGTCCTAATTTTGCAATGGAAATTATCTGTGGCTTCACATCAATTGATCATGTATTAACTGAATTTTATAGTTTCATTAATAACACTTATCTTTGTTGGTTCCAAGACATGGCCATCTATCCATTTCAAAAGTAAGCAATTGAAGCGCTGAATTAAAATCCTAATACTACTAAAATATGAATTGAAATCCTAATATTATACTACTAAAACATGAATTAAAAAATAAAAAATTAAAACTATAATTTTTATAACTACACTTCCATTAAGTTATAACTTCCTTATAATAATAAAATTAGTTAGCCCTACCATTATTACTATAGAAATGTTTTACTTTATATAAATTGCTTCAAGAAATAGATAAGAACCTTTTTCCATTTCAAGGCGTTAAATGCAAAGGCTGTGCGAAACTGATTTTGGAGCCCATGTTCACCTCATTCAGTCAGGAAACAATCCATTTTCACTTCAGTAACATCGAGTTGCAGTATCTCTGCTCTGCATCCCAGAATTGATCCAACGCTGAAAGACGGGGAAAAAGGTCCAAATAATTAGAATTTCTCTGCTGATGTGAACATTATAATCAGCAACAAATTTGATGCTCATATAGTCGTCATACAAGCAGAATACAGAATGATACGGGTAATATAACGCCGAAAAGGAAAAGAGAAAAAAACAACAATATAATTCAAACATTTTTTCAACTGATAAAATTTATTTAATCCATACCTTGGAGTGGTGCGCCCAAGATCCCCGTGAACAAATTCCTTAATATATGTTCCAGCCTGCAATTCAAATATCATCATTACTATTTCACCAGATATAGACTTACTTCAGTTTTTAGCACAGAAAGTACAAAATAGTCGAAGGCCTTCTATCTGTTTTGCCCTTTAACTAAAGTTCCTACTAGTATTATGCTTTAACAAAATGACTCATATTCTGTTACATGGGGATTGCATCAAAAAGCATGACTGTCAAGTTTGCAGCCATTTCCAGCTATCACAAAACTTGATATTTCTTTACCAGTCTCAGGGTTATCAACATTGTTTCTATCACAAGTGCCAAGGATTGAAACCAAATGCCAAATTCATTGATTCATCAAATAGCTTTGCGTACATAAATTCAGTGACTAGATATAATGGTACAAAGAAAGAAATATAAAAAATATTACCTGAGTACACAGATGCAAAAGAAAATACTGAGAGCTTCCAGCAATCTTCTTGATTTTCATCCTAAAATTAAACATATAAGCTAAAATTATTCTAAACTGGTAAACCGCTACAGAGCTATAATATTGCAATTCTACATGATTGAAGAGGCTCAAACCAATGTATAATCTTTTCACGTTCTAATGGACTGCGACGGTGTAGCACTCTTATCGGGGTCCTCTGCAAAATTTGCTGCAGCACGACCAAAAAATGATTTGAGTTTTAATAAACAAATTACTTGCCAAAGCAGCAAACCCAATGTTTTTTATATAAAAAACTACTTGATGGAAACCCCATGAAAATAGGCTGAATATCAGCATAGAGCCGCCCCGGGATCTTTCGCAATTGAACTTAGACTAAAATTGTATATATACTTTTCTTTATTGAACAGAACAAGGCTGGCACCTCCCACAATAAAAAGATGTTATTCAAAAAGCATGATAAATATCAAAACAGGAGTCATGTTAAATACCATAGACACACTATGCTATCATAGGAAAGTGGCAAACGAAAATTGTATAACAACTCACCATTTCCTTGAGAGAAGATAAAGTCTGCAAGTCTTCATCCTGAAGAGGGCGAGATATCCAAACTAATGCAGCATATTGCTTCTGCAGAACAATGGTCTTAAGTCAGCTTATTCAATAAATTCACAATTCAGAGAGACAATGAAAAGATGAACTACTACATTTAATTATAAAGGACAAATAACCTGCTTCTCTGCTTCTCCTTCACGCATCAGGTCCCAACCCTGACTACCTACTGCTTTAAGATTTTTCACCTTAACCTGCATCAGAAAGTAACTTGTCCAGTGAATGATGCTCACTGATAGCCAGAAGGGAAAGGAAAATCATCACAAACTTGGAATTGAACTTACTAATTTATTTTCCAAGTTATTTATCTTTGCTTCAATTTCTTTCACAAACAACTCAGATGGGACTTGGCGTGCATTTTGTACCTCAACCAGGAAAGGCCTACCTGAACCTAACATTCGAACCTGGAAGAGTAATTCCCTTGATCAGAACAAAATTTACTGATTTCAAACAAACATTAGTAAAGTAGAACTTCAGTACATCTATATCTTCTCTACCAGCTGCATGGAACTTGTAATTGTCACCCTGACACATAGGAAGAATGCTACCACCTATTATCTCCTGTGGAATAAGTGCTTAAAACGTTAGCTTATCAACCTCATTTAACATGATATTGACCATCAGTAGTAGTAGATATACCTCAATAGATGCTTCTCCCATTCTTTCCTCATCAATGATCCAGCGTGTTTGACTCACATTTCTTGAGTACTGCAATACCAAAGAACAAAAGTAGATCTAAAGAAAGAGAAAATAGAATTGCAACACCAGGAGCATTATGTGTCTGCATACTCTAAGTTCAAATTTGGCATAAGAAATCTTCTTTGCATGTTAAATACAGTTCTAAACATACTATACTGTGATTTTGTATATATGAGATGTACAATTGTGAGAATAACATTCCTTATTCACATTCAAATTCACATGCATAGTGCTAGAAACAAGCATGAGGAGGTCATGGCATGTAAATCTTATAGAAGAACAACTGAATACCTTCAGGTATCTTCCACCAAAGAAGATAGGAGTCCTGCTGCAAAGACACTCCAGGCAGCAAGGTTCATTGACCTGGAGAGGTAGAAGGACCAAAACCTTAAAAACACTATGATATCAAACCCAATGAACAGCCAAATAAGCAACAGTCATCCAGAACACAACAATTTTTTATCAATAAAAATAACATAAATTGTTGCAATCAAACTTTCATTCATCCACTAATCTCAAAATGCCCACTGCCACATGAATTTCTTCGCACATAAGCTCAAAAGAGCAGCATTTTGAAATTTCCTTTCTAAAAATCATACCGGAATATTAATACTTAAAAGAGTTTGGCAACCATTGATTACAACAATGATAATCTTCAAGTTTCAAGACAAATCAAACTGGTGAAACATTGGCAATCAGACAAATCTTATCCAAGCAGAGAAACTGTAGGCTGAGACATGGAAAGATTTACCTTTTCTGGCAGGAAATCATAGGTGTTAGAAGATTCACCATCTTGCAAGCCATTAGAGGATCTTTCAGAGGCTGCATTTGCTTCAATAGTAGCACAAACAGAACTTTCAACACCATCAACCACTGACTCATGTTTGACAGTGTCCAAGCTGTTCTCAGTACCTAAATCACCAAATGAAAGCACATGGGTGTCAGAACTCTGAAATCAATTGACTCTCTTTACATGAAGAGATGGGATCATCAGGTTGTTCTGCTTTTTTCTTTAAATTTTCCTTTATCAATTAACTTAAATTAAATTAGTCAGAAATATAACTGTTAACTCTAACTGGCTAATTTTTCTTTTTATGCTAAGTGTCAATAATAAATTAATTTATAAACATTTAGTTTTTTGAAAGACATAACAGTGATGAACATATTCCAATTCAAAACCTATTGATATTATGTAATGTATCTATGATAAGTATTAGGTTCGCATGGTAAAATCCTTTTATAAAGTAAAACCTTAAAGACGTATAACCAGGAACTTTCTTTCATTCAGCACCTTTTAGTCTCACAGGGATAACCACTTCTGCTAAAATTAAGGAAGAATCTAAATCTAAATCACTTTGCTGCTGCTTTTAGTAGTCAGTTTATAACCACTACCTCCATCACACCTTATAGTTTGAATTCTGTAGGCCTACTTACACAAGAGAGCAAATTAAGACTATCATTCATATGCATGCATGAGATGAGGAGGGGGAAACCTGAGCAGCCAACTTCTCAACCCTGGCTCCCATCATAGAATCCATAAAACATTAACTAGTTTTTCAAATTTTGCACACATTGCACTATAAAAGGTCTGAATTTCTACGACAGATAAAATCTAAATGCTGAACATTTTTTTCCCACCTCAAACTAATATCTTTCTCTCTTCTGATATGTAAGAAATTGTTAACTTAGAAATACAGTGCAACAAGCTATGGGTCTTGTATCATATAATGACCATGACCTCTAAAGGCAAGGGAAGATAATAGTCATAAAACAGGACCAAAGGCAGCAAGACGGCATGTAGTAACTATAGACTTCAGAAAGACAAAACATATTTTAATTTCTGCAAAAACAACGTGACTTGCCTGTTTTCCTTCTTTTGCAGCCCTCGTTTTTCTCCACAGAACTCTGAACCATTTTTGATGCCTTTGCATTAGTGTATGTCAAACGGATTCGGAAAGAGCTTTGGCAGCATTTAACATCCTGCAAGACTTCAATTTAATGAAGGATTATTGGGAAAGATCTATTTAAATTTCTATACTTTTGTATAACACAGAAATGTTTGTCTATAGTTTAAACAAGTCCACCTCTTTCCAAACTATTTGTTCAGTCACTTATCTTAACATTTTACATAATATAATAACTTGTAATAGTTAGAAATAGAAGTAATGATTTGAACAAGTGACATATACGTGCAAATCAACGAATGCAATATATAATTACCAAATGTTTGAAGAGGGTCTGAATAAGCAAATTTTAAGGCATCCTTTACAGAAATGCCCTCAGATATTGACTTTTCTTGGAACCAAAGTTCAGATCCATACTTCTTCTCACATACAACCTATAAATTTACAAAAAGAAAATATATTCCCAAGTTGTTGGTAGATAACATTGTATATTATGGTCAGAAAGAAACCTAAACGACTGAACAAGAACACAAATCTTGCAATAGATACTGCATTTAAGAACTCGTATATGTTAATTCACCAAATGCACACAAAAAAAATTTATAAGACCTGTAAATAACAACAAAATCAATCTTACCAGACCATGTTTTCATTCTCCAAAATTATAGGAGGTATCGACACTTCAAGAGAAAAACTATCAATCTGATGACCTTCTTTCTTTACTAAGTCAGAAATTGTTACAGCCAAATCTTTAGCATTCTCCATTTTCACAACATTGCTTTGTTGTCGCAATGAGCGAACTGCAGGATGCCTAAACAAATTCGGCAGATTTCGGTCAACATCCACCGTAATTTGTCTGATCAGCAGATTCTCCAAGAATATTACGCAAGACTGATCGTTGTGAATTTGATGAATAAGCAGGTAAGAGAATTCCAAATAGCCGAAAAATGCATCTCTACACACCTGCAACATAACCAATATTTTCAACATTTGACAAAAAGTTAATCAATTTCAATTATGAATAACGACCTTTAGAAATTGACTTTCAGTTACTTGTCAAATTACAACATGAGCAAGGACAGACCACCTCAATGAATATAACAGAGAAAAAGAAAACTAGAGATCAAAAGAAAAGTGATGGTTAGTTATATAAGTTCACGGACCTATTGCACAACAAGTCCTTTACGGCGTCAGCAGGCAAGGACTGAAGGCGTCGCTGAGAGAAGCTTTCACTCTTCATCGCGCTCCTCGTCGACGGAGATAACATGCGACGCCTCCTGGCCGTCGCTAACTTGCGCGTTCGACATTTCAAAACAACTCTCCACTTCGGTGATGGCGGCAGTCTCTCGCTAACAGTTTAACTCTTTAGTCTACTAAGGTAGCGGCGTAGCGCAGCGGAAAAAACTATCAGGTATATAAATAGAACACGGTAGCTTTGTCTTTACGCCTATGACAATCAAATTTATGGTTAAATGCTTTTTTTTCCCCCGTTTTGTAAGTGGAGCAACTGGCCTCCAAATCTTTCTTAAAATTAACGGAATATGAATGAAGTACTACAGTAACTACAGGAAGCTCAAAATAGATCTTTCTCTTTCGGTGCAATTTTTGTGTTGATTATATAGTATATTCAAGATGCTCTTAGACACTTCAAGAGAAGAACCATCAATTTGATGAACTTCTGTTGAGTCAACAGTTGTTACAGCCAAATATTTAGCATTCTCCTTTTTCACCAACATTTCTTTGTCGTCGCAATGAGTGAAATGCAGAATGCCTAAACAAATTTGGCATAAGTTTGACTCAACCTCCCTACCATATTTGTCTGATTCAGCTGAGTGGGTATGTGAATTCCAAATAGCCGAAAAATGCTTCTCATATCATACTCACCTTCAACATAACCAAATATTTTACAACACTTTCGTAAATAGTTAATTTGTTTGTCAAATTACAAAGCTGTGAAAGGGCAGACCGGTCACCAACTCAATTGAATTTAACAGAGAAAAAGAAAAAAAACCTAGGAATCAAAAGAATATGCTATGGTTGGTTGTATGTGCACAGACAAGTCCTTTACGGGCGTCAGTAGCCAAAGGACCGAACGGCGTCGCTGAGAAGCTTCATCTATTCAGCTTCACCAGTGACGTGGTGCTCCTTGTCAACGGAGATAACATGCCACGCCGACTGGCTGTTGCTAACTTGCGCGTTCGACATTTCAAAAGAACTCCACATTTTCAGTAATGGCGGCAGTCACTCGCTAACAGTTAACTCTAGACTACTGGAGTAAATGGCGTATGCAGAAACTATTATGTGTATGTATAGAACACGGTAGTTTTGTCTTTGTAAGTAAACTGACGTTTCAAATTGTTTCATACAGTAAATACCATTTATGTGATATGAAGCTCCTCAATCAATGGCTATAAAATTTACACAGTAAGGACTCCTAAAATGCCTTATTAGATAAGTTATTTCTCTGTAACAACAGCAACTAGATAAATTATTTAGATAATATAAAGAGAGCCCATGATGACCATATAAATTACAGTGACGAAGCTAAACGGTGGAGATCTACGTAGCCAGAAAGCACCGTTCGGTTACGTTCTTTAACCTTCACCTGATAAATAACCCTGCAGATTACAACACTAATCTCAGTTATCTGCTAATTGCACACTTATTAAATGCCAAATAATGAATTCATGCTCTCAACAACCACAGGCAAAGAAATTCTACCTCAAACCTTCAATCCACATCTCCGTAATCAAAGTTTCACCAGGGTAAACATGCAAAAGGAATCGGCCTGATATACTTTTCACCATGTTTGGATCCCCTCTACAAATACATTTGATGATTGCCCGAACTGCAAACCCAAGTGTGCACAGCCCATGCAATATTGGCCGAGAGAATCTTCATCACATGAGACATAAAAGAATCAGATCAACATAAAGATCCATGATATGGTAAACAAAATTTTGTGAAGAAATGCAGGCTTTAGCGTCACCACAACATTGGAACAAGCTACACGCCAAATTCAATTTTTTTTTTAAAAGTATACAGGGACATTTCAATTCCACAGAAGTTTAATCATGGAACCAGTAAAGGACAGAAACTAAAAATTGATCAATGAAGATTGTAATAATCGTTGTTTGACCAAAGCAAAAACATTGCATGGTGCTTAGCTCAAAAGACAGAAACAGACAAGATTTAGAATGACTACATAATCCGGTCCAGTAATGAGATAAATCAGTTTTCCACAAATACTAACCCTGCAACTTTTGCAATTTCAGGATCTGAATGCAGAGGATTATAATCACCAGATAGTCTATATAGCAATGCCTGCAGAAACAGTGACAAAGGTTCAATTTTTAAACTTCAAATGCAAAAGCATCCCACATACCCCCAAAGACTCAAAGTCGACTTTACTACAACTCATCTATTGTTTAAGCTACTCATCCATCCAAGTGAATCTCTTATAATAACAAGAAATTAAGCATATATTATCACGAACAAGAATTTAAGACAAGTGCTAAGTGATCAACCTTCTATACAAATAAATGAGAGAACACAGTTAAAAAGATCAAGACGTAAGACAAGTGGTCTAACACTTGATTTGACGAGCCAAGAAATATGGTAACACTGTCAAAAACTAGAAAACTGATGAGCTTTAGCATCCCTCTTCACGTTTCCAAATTTCATACTATACCTGATGAGCTTTAGCATATCAATTAAAATAAACAGTGGCCCAAATTAAGGAACATTCCATCACAAATTTCTAATCCAGAAATATTATGAATTCCATACTACGTGCCTGAGATGGTTGGGTACAATCCTCAAATACTGCAAAAGGTTGACCTTTTGGGATTTTCGCAGCTGAAGCCTGGTTGGTTGGATAGTTTGAGTAGGAAAAAGGTTGAGATGATTTTGAGAAGCCCCCAGCACCCCGCAAAAAAGCAGTCATCCTGCAGAGTAATACCTTAGCTGAGTAAGGAGCATGGGCACGATTAGATGAGACAGTTCCAAAAAGAACTTACCGATTCATGAATAATAGTTCACCAGATTCTGAATGAAAACATTTGGTTTCAATCTCAATAATAGCGGCTTTACCTGAAAATAAATCAACACAGGAAATAGAAAAACATCAAAATCGTGTCCATAATGCATCATTATCTCCCTCCTCTCTTTCCCTTCTTCATATACACATACAAACTAAAAAAATTGAGGAAACTTTGAAAGCCCCAGAAAATCACCTTTTTGTAAGCTTTACCTATATACTAATTTCATAAGACGGCAACAACATTCAAACCAAAATTTCCATCAAGGAGATGGGGTATTTCAAAAATTTCAAAAAAAAAAGAAAAAAAAAAAAACACTTTTGGTTGAGATAGCAATACAACCAACTTATCTGTACTAACTATAGGTTTAGTTAAAAACCACTCTGACATTCACCAAATACTCCCTTTATTTAAGTATATAAACTTGACAACACAAGTTGTTTAGTTGTAGTACCCTTATCATGCAATCCTGCAATACAAGCTTCAGTACGTACCTGCATCAATAATATAATTAATCAGAAAATTTATATCACACAAAAAAGAGAAGAATAAAAATGATAAACAATCAAAAAATGCTTCTGGTGAGAACCCTTACGGAAGCACTACAAGGCAATGGCTTGTATATTTCTATGTATTGTTGTCCATGCAGCAGAAGCCGTGGATCATATCTGGTATATTGCAACATAGAGTCAACAATTATCAAAACACCGGCAAAAAAAGTATGATTTTGTTCTTATGATATATTAACGCATTATGAGAAATAACATAGAAGACACAATGACTTAAAAAAATTCATGAAAACTAAATAAGCTTACTCCAATCCTGGAAGATGCAGACCACCTGTAGAGCTCATTCTAATTGAAAAAAGAGCAGAAAATGTTGGCAAGACCTACAAAATTGGGAGATACAATAGTAGATCAATAACTTGCCATCAGACAACAAAATTTATAGCCTTCCAGCATTGAGCACAAGCGCATAGAATTGGCAAAAATGGGAAACTTCATTTTAGTTTCCACAAATAGTATACACAGAGGCCATATTTGATTGTAGATTTAGGACTGATGGCTCATTGCTCAAAAGACCGGCAAGCAAATAAACCAATTCGTAATAAAAAAAAAAATTAAAAAAAAAAAAAATAGAATAAACTATAAAGTATACTTGGATGAACTGCTGCCCGTTTTCATGGTAAACATATTTGAGCTCATCGGCATCTACAGCATCCTTTCCACAAGCACCAACACCCAAGGCATAGATCACTGCATCTCTGTTCGCGAAAAGATGTATCATTAACATGACTAATTACAAACTAGGCTTCAAACGCCTATATGAACCAGAAAACTATTGTAGTACTGAATAAAAGTAATGGCACAAATAAGTCATAGGAAAGATTCAGCTTTTGTGGGCTTTGTACCTTTCAGTGTAAGTGTAAGTACTCTGCAATCCGTTGCATCCATGTATATGCAACAAACAAACGATAACAAACATTAAACAGAAATCCTCCATAAAATCTTAATTTATATATTCAATCTTCATTCCTCCTTAGTCAGCTTTCAAGAAATGGATTAAAGCACGATATATTCGATATGAATAAAAAACCATAACAAATGGAGAGAAAAAAAAAATACCTCAGGAAATTTATGAGAAACGAAGAGCTGTGGATCGAACTCTGAACTATTCGCCATCAAAGTTATTGAAGATTGATTCCTGCAGAAAGGACAGTTGAAAACTGGGAATCCCGTTATAGAAATTCAAAAGGAGAATCAAAGGTTTACCAGTACCAATTATTGGGAATCACCAAAAAGTGATAGAAAGAAATTGGATAAGTTTGAAAACAGATAATGATTTAAGGCATGGGCTGGCTGAAGACGGGAGTTACTGCTAGTAAGAGGAACTCTCTCGTTAAGGTACCATCTTTTATTCAATTTGGTTGTGTGTCTTGAAAAGTCAATCCATCACATAAACTTGCAAAACTTGGCGTTTAGTTGCTGCGTTTTTGTTTTTTTTTTAATTAGAGTCCACAGCTGGTGTTTTAACTAATTTTCGAGGTTTATTTCATATTTTACAAATTTAACAAATCAAGTAAATTACAATGTGATAAAGAGTTATTTTGCAGGACTCGAAAATTGCTGCCTATTGCCTACACAGACACCTTATTAAAAAGAAATCATAGATTTAGGTTAAATTTTTACTGTACTAATTTATAGTTTTTTATGAATTACAATTTAATAATTTAAAATGCAGTTCCAAAGTTAAAAAGTAGTAAAGTTGGATGAGAAATAATTCTCTTTAAGTCAATAGATCATCGTCGGTCGGTTCAGACCTCCACACCGTTCTCAGCCCATGAACTCAGAAAACAAAAATTATTTTATATTTTAGATTCAAGACTCTAGAAGAAGTAAACAGCCAAGTTTTAAGCATTGGCCATACCTATGAAAATTCCTGAATAACCACGTTATACGACAAAAGGTTTTCTTGTTTTGCTTGTCCTACCGAAACTGTTAGCGAGAATTTTACTTGCCGATGTTACGGTTTTTGGATAGAGACAAAGGAGCTCACAAATATGACAACAACTGAAAAAAATAAAGAATGATATTACTTTATTAATTGAATTTCGTAAAAACCCACCGATCAAGCCCAGACAGAGGATAATGAGGTAGCAGATAAATAAGATAATCAGGCAGTAACGAGGCAATTTGCATTTGGTGAAAATATAATAACATATCAATGGAGCATTGAAGAATTTGTCAAATCCAAAATTGCAGATCTACTCCAACTTCAACTTCAGAAAGTCTATTTCAAAATGTTGACAACCACCCTGATAACTTTTCAACCAAAAACTAAAACAGACAAAAAGTTTCTTCAATTCTCCAACTTAACCCCATTAAAATCCATCCTAGAAATACAATACTCGATCACACATCAAGAACCAAAAGTAGATGCACATTACAACAGATGTCCTTCTCGCTAAATAATCAGTCATCTTTACATTCTATCTTCTCTCCTCCTTGGGGCACAAGTGATGATTTCATCAACTCTAAGAATCATCTCAGCAGCCTCAGTTGCTGAGAGCAGAACAGCCTGCTTGACTTTGAATGCTTCGGAGATCCCCAACTCAGCCATGTCTCCAACCTGTCATTATTTCAGAAAATGGACAGCAACCAAAGTAAGGATTAAAGACTAATAATCAAGAACTGCTGAACTTGTAAATTGTAATAAGGATTTGAGTATCAAACGGTTGACAAAATCCATAACCAACAGCAAGTAGAAACTCAACACATGGACATAATTGGGTTGGCAATAATAAAACAAATTTTCCTCATTAACTCCTGTTTCGTTAGCTACCCCATCAATCAAGCTGATATTTCCAGATCATGGTAGGCATAAACTTCTTTATAGTAACATTTCTATAAACAATGTCTTTTTTCCTACATTATGAGCTCCAAACTCACTTTCTGTGAGAATGTCATAGTCAACCCAAACCCTTAAATTTTTGGATGATACTGATTAACAAAGAAAGAGAATGTCATAGTCCAGGTAGACAATGTCCAAGAAAGTGTCATACTATTCACAAAAGTCCCACAAGTGCAGTGTCCTTAAAAAAATTGCATACACCCCAAAGCATATTAAATTTAAACTACTTTGATTATGCTACTCACAGATCCAGTTATAACATCAATCCCTGCAGTGCATCCCTCTTTTTGGTGCTCTGCACGGAGCTGAGCTATCAACTCAGCACTGTCTAGACCAGCATTGTCAGCAATGGTTGATGGAATAGCTATAAGTGCCCGTGAAAAAGCATCAATGGCATGAGACTTCTTCCCAGGAGTCTTCCTTGCCAGCTCATCCACTTCCTTTGCCATCAACATCTCAGGCCATCCACCTCCGAGTAAAACCCTGCTGTCATTGACTGTCTGGGATAGCACACATAAGGCATCATGCAGAGATCTCTCAGCCTCATCAAGCACATGATGACTGCCAAAAAATAAAAATAAAAAAACTCAGGCTCCAATTTCCAGCATGAAATGTTAAGAAAAAGACAATACATATTAAGGATTTAGGAATTCTTATAATAGAATACAGCCATCCCAAAAAATAAAATAAAATAAAAAGGAGATATAACAAAGTGCCACTAGGTTAGTTGCACATTACAAAACATTTGACACAAGCAGATCATCCCAATCATCAGATTTAGTCAATGGTTGACAAAACGCTTGAAAGCAATCACAAACATGCACAAAAGATGTTTTTCACACATTTTACTAGCTTCACAGTAAAATAGGAAGAACATGATTTTATCAAATTACAGCCATTTTCAGCTTAATTCCCTGAGAAAAAAAACTATTTCCATGTCAGCTAAAATGGATATGGAACTTTCCGAATTATTTTTTGCAACATAAAGATTGCCATCTAAGAATGAGGTTTTTAACAGCGGACTTACAAGAGAAGCAAATATCTTATATCAGAGTACTTCAGTAAGTAAAACATTTACGGAAGAAAGAAGCCAATGGTGAATTTCACAACACATGATAAAAGACACATGCATACAATAAAAAAAGAGAGAGACAAAACAAGTGAAACAAAGTGCAAACTTATCTAATGACATGTGCATACACANGCGGACTTACAAGAGAAGCAAATATCTTATATCAGAGTACTTCAGTAAGTAAAACATTTATGGAAGAAAGAAGCCAATAGTGAATTTCACAACACATGATAAAAGACACATGCATACAATAAAAAAAGAGAGAGACAAAACAAGTGAAACAAAGTGCAAACTTATCTAATGACATGTGCATACACATAATATAGATCATTGCAGAAAAAAAATGCAAAAAATGAAACCTCATAAGCATGGAAAGACTACAAAAATATATGTTGAGATAATGTACCTTGAACCTCTCAATACTATGGTACAAGCCTGACCCATTTCAACACCAGAAAAGTGGATCAACTTGTCATCACCAATCATGATTTCCTCAATGAGCTTGCAGTGCCCAAGCTTAACTGACTCTGGATTGTCAAAGGTTGATGCAATTTCACCACCAGTTACTAGAGCCAGGCGCTCTATACCATCAAAATCAGCATGCTCAATTGCAAGTATACCAGCATCTGCAAAGAGTTCCTCTGGGAAATTGTAAATCAGCTGCCTATTAACAAAGCAGTTAATCCCATGACCTATTATCTTCTGCACCTTTTCTCTCATCTTTTGTTTCTCAGCACCTTCTATCTCAGCTGCCCTGGCCATTGAATCAACACGAACACGTGCCCCGTAAATCTTCACTTTATCTGTATCCATTGCAGTATTTGCCACCAATATCTTTGCATTTTCTATGCGTTTTGGTTGTCCAATGCCTATTTTCTTGTCAAGAATGAATCTGAAAGAGCAGATACTTCCACATTAAAATTAATAAGAGATCTACTAGCTGTTATGCAGAAATTCATGCAATGAATGAAATTACACCAAGGCATGCACATTTAAATGGTTTAAACTAGCTGTATCTATTGACACTATTTGATTTAGTAAAGCAAGTCAAACTTTAAACCATATTCATTAAAAAATCAAATAGGATCAGAGTAAGTTACACAAGATTTGCAGCATATATGCGAAATTCATTCAATTTCTAACCATATAACAACAGAGTCATAAGCTTTTTTAGTTTTTGTTCAGTTAGATCTGAGACTTATACCAGCTGCACAAAGTAATTATAAGTTTATGTATCCCACCCTTCATCTAGAAAGGAATCCTTAAGTGATCCTCCAGGCTTCTTGATAATTTGGATGGACTCTAAGTTTGTGCTGCCCTGAAATTTACAGCATCATTGTTAGATCAAATTAATATAATATAGATTTAAAAGAAAAGATCATACATGAAAATCTCTTCTAATAAAAGGTACATACAAAATAGTAATGAGCCAGTCCACAGTATGTAAAATAATTCATTGCGTCCAAAGTACATCATTAACTATAGTGGGGATAGGCACATTTTCGGGGTGGAAGCAAATAAAAGTACGAATGAAAATTGTCATTTTTTTTTATTCTTATTATTATAAGAAACAAAAATATCTATTATGATTTAAAATTGTAAACCAAATAATTTATTGGTTTGGGACACATGACACACAGGCATGTCATAACAAGAACTAAGCTTACATTATATCAAACCAAACAAATTTGTTTATCAGAAACGTTTTTCAGGCACTTGTATTCTCAATTAGTGCCACAAATGGCATGGAAGCATTTAAGAAAATGCTAAAATAAAAAATAAGATGTGTGCATGCATGTGTATGCATACAACACAAGTATGTATGTGTATCACCCTATTAGAACATCTCAAATTAAGCAATCAAGAGCAAGAAGATATTACTTAGCTTCAATTACAAGTGACTGACAAAACCAAACACCGGCAGGACATTTCAACTGAACCTTATTATGCAAATTACAATTACCTTAAGCCTCATAACAGCATCAACAGCCAATTGTGCAAAATGTTCCTTGTCCTGCGAGAGAATTTTGGAACTCAAAGTAGTCATTGCAATCTTCATCAAGTCTGATTTGAATTTTTCTGCATTATCCAGTATCGTCAAGCATTATGCACAAAATACATTAAAACTTTTAGCCATCATCAGCTAATGAGGACCTTCATAATATTTTGACAACAGAAATAACACCTAAAGAATCTAATCTCATGCACAATAAACATCTAGAAAAGTCCACACCAACAAGTAGACAGAAAAAAAGGAAAAAGGTAAATCAGCGTGAAACAAATGGCTTCTATGGCAAATAACCATTCATGAGTGAATATGTACATGCAGCACACACAAAGTCATCACCTGCATCCTCTTTATTATCCATGACCTTCCGCAACAAAGCATCACGAGCACATTCAGCGGCCATTCGGAACCCTACATAAAAAAAAATAATAATAATAAATAAATAAATATCAACATGAATACCTTGGAAAACAACCACAAATTATTTGCAATACAAAAAGCAAGATACACTGTTAATTCATGAGGAATGAATATTTGAAAAAGAAAACACAACACTTATTTGACCACATACAGTTAGTAAATATCATTATTTGACCTTATGTTAACAGAATGTTGAAAAAAAAAAAAAAAAAAATTTACTTCAATAAAAACATGTATAATAAACTTTACTAGAAGACCGAAAAGAATAAGCAGTTGACAATAAAAGCCTAGTGAAAACCTGATATAATAGTCATTGGGTGAATCTTAGCAGCCACCAGCTTTTCGGCCTCCCTTAGAAGCTCCCCAGCCAAAACGACAACAGAAGTTGTCCCATCACCAACTTCATCATCTTGAACTTTCGAAATGTCTGACTCTCGAGTTAAGGATTATTATTCAAAAAAGGAAGAAAATAATTCATATTAAGAGCCATAAGTAACAATTCCACAGGTATAGCAAATTGCAAAAGAGTTTTCTCAGATATATGCCTATACAGTATCCATAATCTTTCCAAAATAAAATAGAATAAAGAAACTCAACCCCCCATCAGGGCAAAAAATACTGTAGTTAGGATACCAATAAGCACTTTAGCCGCTGGGTTGTCAATATGTAGAGACTTAAGTATAGTGGCCCCATCATTTGTAACAGTGACTGCACGTCCTCTGCCTGTTGATTGTAAAATTTTATCCTGCACAGATAATTTATCAGCAAGAAGGTAAATAATTTGAGTAAAGGATAAGAGCAACTACTGTAGCATTCTAGTTTGCAGCACAGCAAGGCAGTAAGAGAGCTTACCATTCCTTTTGGCCCTAAGGTTGTCTTAACCAAGTCAGCAATTGCCATAGCACCAACGAATGATGCCTGGAGAAAACATAAATATGACCAATCATGAGAGCACAATGGAAAAGCAGGTAAAATTTAATCATCATTTTAGATAGATTTAGCTCTTTGTAACAAAACAGCAGTATCCACAACAGCCAAAATGCAATATCAGAGTTGTTAAACTCAGTAACAGCGCCATTAGAAAAGTTTAAACAGGTGGATATTAATATCTAAATAAAACTCGAATATTCATTACTTAAAACCCTAATATCCAAAGACTCACCATTCTGGCACGCTCTCCTTTCTCTTCACTGGCTTCATCTTTAAAAATCCTCTCGACCTAATAAGACATTCACAAAGTATATTATAAACAGATTTAAATAAAATTCAAACCGAAAAGTTCTCAGCAACCAACATACCGCCATCTAAAATAAACTGAAACCAAGATGCTCAAATAACACCCTGAAACAAGCAAATCGCGAACACAAATATCGTAAGCTAAGAACCACAACTAATCGGATCTTAAATACTTATGTAAATATACGAACATGTAACAGAAATGCATAGAAACAAAAAATATAATAAACAGTGCTAGGTTACCATTTTCCTCATTTTTTTTAATATTTCAAAAATAACATAAAGAAACCTTAAATGTTCAACTGTGAGATAAGAACTGAAACTCAACGAAACCCTAACAAGCGAGAGATGAGTAAGTTGTTACCTGATCTTAAAGATAGAGACGATCGACTGCTAGGTTTTACTACTTAAATCCCTTCCCACCAAAAATACGAGTTAAAGAGTGAGCAAGCGTGACTGCGTTATTAGGCTTTGGTCTCTAAAAGAACTATTATGATATGGTGTGTAGTGTGTATCGTAGTCTATGAGCTTTAGCTTTAATATTCACCTGATGTATTGACTTTATAAGTTAACAGTAATACTATACTTACCAACCCAAATACCGATTTTTACATACCGACCCAACTATCCAACAACCTAAATCTCAAAATTTGACTCAATTCACATGAGTCAGTATGTCAAATCGGTAATTGGGTCGGTAAGTCTAGCATTACTGATAAGTTAAAGGTCATCAACATTATGACTTGGAGTACCGACCGTTGGATTTAATTGGAACAAACAGTATAAACTATAATATCCTTATCTATTCTCCACAATTTCCTCGTATTTGTTTACCACCGAAGTCTCCCGAATTCAATGGAATGTACGTAAAAGCTAATAGCTTAATAGAGGATCAATTTTTTTTTTTTACCAAGTACTAAAAAATGTTTTGATCAAGGAATTGGCTTGAACTATTTATTGTTCTGTATTTTTCCTAAAATATTCATGATATAAAGTTTCAATAATTAACTTAATTTTAATTAAACTTGGGCATTCCGTACATTGATATTAATAAACGGGTCTGGATAGAATCACCTATATACATAATACATCACAACTTCAAATGTCATAGCAGCTCACCAATTAAGTGGGACAAATACAACTTCTGGCAGATATTAAACTTTTGTCAAGCTGTAATTTGGAGATTAAAGGCCTGTACTAACTCACACTTCATTTATTCAGGGCCGGCCCAAGGGTAGGTAGGTGAGGCAACTGCCTAGAGCTCCCCAAAAAAAAGCCTAAAAAAGAGGCCCAAATTTTTTTTAAATAGATTTATAGTAATATCGTTAGACCTAAAAAAGTTTATAATTTTTTATCCAAACCGGTTCAAAGGACCCCAAAAAAGCCAAAAAGGCCGAAATTCATTATAATTTTTTTACATAAATTTAAAAAAAAAAATCATGTTTCATATTTTTCATTCACACCCCCAAATTAATTAAACTAGTTATTTAAATGTCAAAAATTTCAAAATACCCATTCAATCCCTAAAATGATGAAAACATTGCATCTCCAACCCTCTACACCGCCATAGTGTCGCTGTCGGCGTTAAAGTGATGATTTCGGTTAATTTTCTCACCAAAATCGACCGGATTCATCACCTAATCATTTCCGAAACGTTTTTCTAGCCTTGACAACCCCCAATTTGGTCGATTTTTGCTGATTTTCGCAACCCATTTTCATTCTTCACGGCGTGCAGCAACCATTTCCAGCACGCATCTGCTGTCGTTGACCTTCCCCGACACCACCATCTTCGTTCCCTCAGCCCCCTCCCCATCTCTCGCCCTTACAAGAAAGATTAGATAATTTGACTATATTATCAATTCAAAAAGACTTGGTTTTTAAACTTGAATATAAAAATTTAATTAGTGATTTTACTTCTCAAAAGGTAAGAAAATTAATTTTAAATAATTTTTTAATATATGCTTATATTATTAAAAGACCTCAAAGTAACTCTTGTCTAGGGTCACAAATGTTCTAGAAACGACCGGCATTTATTAACTAGCAAAGATGGAAGAAGTAAAATATTATTCAAACATTTCTCATAAATGATTCTAACTTAGTTTCTTACATGAGGCTTCCATTTAATATGTTATTTTATCCTTATGTTCTATTTTCTCTCTGTTTCTCATACCAAAACACTGTATTGTGCAATGTAATCCAGGGCTCATTTTCAGTTGAATACATTCAATCACGTTTCTCCCATCAATTATAATACCAGAGCTTCAATTCAATATTTTGTAATGGTGTTAATTGTGGCAATTGCTTACTGAAGACGCCTGAGAGGGAAATAGCGGCCTCTGGTTTCATTTTAAAACAGTCAAAGAGTATTAATGATGAGAAAACCCATTAAGATGGGAGAGTACGTAGGGAAATAATGAAAGATCTGAAACATTGTGTAAAGAAATGATTAGCAAATGCACTATAATTTGATGATATTAGAAAGCATGAGCCAAACTTGATAGACTGGAGACCTGATTCATATATTTTAATATAATGGTATACAAGCTTCAACAACAATAACAATAACAGTAATGACAACCTTAATGGAAAAAGAATATGACCTCGAGCTGGGGTCATTTAGAGTTCTAATCATACATTACTTGCTTCTCACTTCAAATAAGCATAAATAACGAATTAAATATAAAGATTAGAAGGAAATCTCTACTCTAATCCACCCCAAGCTGGACAAGTTTTGCCTACTCGCAAGTGGATCCCATTATTTTATGCTAATTTAGAGAGGCCTTGTGTGTCGACCAGCTGCTTTTCCGCACAGAAGTGCATTCTTTGGAATTGGGAATTCATCTCTGAGTGAAGTCGATGACGTGTAAACACGCAAGTAAAATTGCTGTCCAAGGTACTGTCGAGCCCAAAACTCTGACCTCATGTTCCACATTCCTACATTGTCCAGTGCTATATAAATAGCAGTCCATGACTTGGGATACACCTGCATAATTAAACATTTAAAGTTACATTATCGGTTCATTTACAGTTGATTAATTTTGATTTTTAATCAACATTGTTATGTTACCTGAACAGTGCTGCGTGAAACTGCATCACGGAGATTGTATTGGTTTCTACTATTCGATGTCCACTGCCCTCCATCCATACTGCATAACAGTTCACAAAAGTTTTGATATCAAGAAATGAATCAGAAACCAAGCCTGTGGAAAGTGGAGTTCCTGGATTGTAAATGTATATTTATGTGCTTACCCAACAACCCAGAAAGAGTAGCCATCAAGGTGATAGCTCTGGATAATGTCCTCATCATTTTGGAAGACAAATTCAACAAAAGCCCTATAGTCAACTCGCATAACAGCTGTGTCTAGATAAATTCCTCCACCAGTAGGACTGTAAGAGATACTTCCAACACGGAAGACTCCATCGATTTTGAAGTAGTCAGCAAGCTTTAGGGGAGTGTCTGGAGCAACGTAGGAAACACTATTAAGTGCATATCTCTGCTTGCCATTAACTTGTCCAGCCGAACTTGAAATCTTGATAGTTTTGGTAGTGTTTATGAGACCATAGTGGTATGAGCCTTGTGGGTTAGGCCTTGGTCCACTTGCTGTAAGATTAGTCCTGAAATGAATCGTACAGAAATAGGTTGATATATGTCAACATTTTGCTAGCACAATAACGTACCATCTAGATATATTGGAGCAGGAAATACCTTATAGAGCGGGCTTGGTTGAGAGACCAGTCAATTTGGACGGTTGGTCCACCTGGGGGATCGCCTGAAACTGGGCCAGCAGAGTTACTGTAGTGAAGAACGCCAGTGGTGGTGAGGACTTGGGAGGTAAAGCGGCTAGAGACAACAATATAATAGTCCTGTCCAGGCTGATCAGCTGTAATTAATACTGAGTATGATTGGCCCACATGAACATCAAGCGAGGAGTAGGTGGTTTGGAGTGTGTGGGTTCCCTCAACTTCTACCAATTTCATTTTATGGTTTTGAATGCGGAAGTTGAGTGAATTTTGCAGTCCAACATTTGATATTCTGAGCCTGTAAGTTTTCCCTGTGGTGGATAATACAGTTAATTATCTATGACAAATATGAGAAGATTAATTTGGGTTTAACCATTGGATATATACCTTGCTCAACAGTTAAAGAGTAACCTTTCGGTCCACGTCCATTTATAAGAATTCCATCAGGGAAAGGTAGCTTATTTCCCCGGTCTAGAATGCTCTTCAAGCCCTGCACATCCACGTATAAAAATTCATTATCCGTGCAATTAGATTTGGCCTCAATAAGATAAAACGTGATTCAAATAAACAGTAAGGAATCCATTTTATAACATTGTTCGCAAATGGGGTTAGAAAATCATGAAACTTGTTTATACAGATGTCCGGTTTTGTAAGCTTCCATCAACCAACACACGCTGGCCCCAAGGCAAATGACAAGCCGTATGCATAAATAGATGACTTAATGCTTTTAAAAAGTATCGTGTTTCCTTTTGATTAATAATAATGAATAAAGTAGATGCTATTGTGACACAGAGACAGCAAAACTGGGACCAAACCCTATGGATAATTGGGACATATGCTCTGAAAGAAATTAAATCAAAAGGCCAAAACAGTAGTTATCCGGCACCCATACCGATGGAGCCATCTAATAAATGTTGATCTCATGGACTCTTGCTAGTTAATATGATACCTAGATTTAAGAGTCCAGAAATTTGACTTTATCATGATCTTGATTATGCTCAAGTGACTTAAAAATCTTCTAATCCAAAACTTTTTTTTTTTTTTTTTTTTTTTTAATCATTGATCATGGTGCAGACAAATCAAAAGACTCAAAACCAATTAATTTAAACGTGAGAAATAATCAATGATATGGATGGGACTGTTGTTTAGAATGTGCCTTCTTTACTCCAATTCATTCCAACCCCATCACTTAATAATTGTGCGTGGTGGACTCACAACCCAACAAAAAGTAAGGTTGAGAGATCCAACTCGCCTTAAACAGCTGACAGCTGTAAGCCACGAATAGTCAAAGGCTATCCTTTCGTTACCGACACAGCGACACTAACACATTATTTTATCAATTTCCCTTTACCAATTTTGGACCTCCATCAAATATTTTTCACACCACAAAATTAAGGGTGGGCCATAAGGCCCCATACCATATTTGAAAGACACTTCAATTTAGAAGAGCACAATGCAAGAACAAAAATAACGGGTGATTAGTGATTAGTAATATATTATTACCGTGTGATTTTTCTTGTACCAATCTCCAATAAGTACAGTATAATCGCCGGCAGGATCCGGGAAGGGTACTGGAATTCTGGGACGGCTAAGGATCCTTATCCCTCCGAAACCACCAGCAGCCTTGTGGAATGCAAGTGAAGGGAAGTAGTAAAAACTCCCAATTTGATCCTTCACTTGAAGAATGTATGTGAAGTTTTTCCCCGGAGGAATAGGACAAGTTGTTCCATTTACACCATCTTCGAAAGAATTCCTCCTCTGCTGAATTCCACTCCTGTAATAAATTTCAATTAGAAAAAGGAATTAAAAATACGTAGTAAAATCTTCAACTTCTCGAGGGCCAAAAATTTAATATTAATAGTGACCATTTTAATTGAGCACATGATCCTGTTTGGCCCGGGACTCCCGGCTAAAACTGAGTGAGCTGGATGCGGCATTACCTGCCTTAAACGAAGTGGCACCGGCACTGGCACATGATAGTTGACTATAATAAAACAACAATTAAGTCTCCATCCTCCTTCCCCTTTCTTTTAACTGATTCACTAAATTTTCTAGAGTGGAAGACAGCTACTAACTTGAAATGGACCACAACACAACCACAATGATGTAAATTAGTTAGATTATACATAACAGTATTTCATTATTTCTAATAATTAGTTTACTGTTTACCTATCACCATTAGTCGTTATCGTTAAACAATGGTTCAGTTCGTCCCAACAGGTGACATTAAAAAAACTCTGTATAATTCTTTTAATCCGAATATCTCGATCCAAACAGCCAGATCTAAGCACCATCACATTTTACGAAGAGAAAGAGAGAGGGGGCCCAGAAAGGTGATGTAAGCGTAATCAGAGCTGTCAGACATTCTTTAATGGTAAATCTAAATTCTCTGGTATTTTTTAGAAGAAAAATACGGATAATGGAAACAAACATGAGCGTATTATTGTACTGTTGTGCACCTCAACTCACGAAAACATATACCCATATATGCAATGTACTTAATAAGGAATGAATAGCGTAGATTTGTCTTTTAGGGAGACACATTGTGGGTAATCTTTAGTCACGGGAGAAACAAGCTAAAAGAGAGATGCTATTATTACCAGGAAATGAGAAAAGGCTCCTTGAGACTGTTGAAGACGTTGATAATAAGATTGTCATTTGTAACAGAGTGGATATCTGGGCCTGGGAATTGCCCGTTTATCAGTATACCCTGCAACACACGAGTACCATTGCGGCCATTAGATCGAACGAAGCCAATCCAGATCAACAAATTGATAAAAAAAAAAAATTAGTCAAAAATAATTAATAATTGGATTGTAAGCACAAACCTGTTGACGTACACCAAGCGGATAGATGTCTCCGTAAGTAACATTCCAGTTGAAGAACCTGTAAGGATCGTCAGCCTTGACAATGGCAAAAAGAGAAACGGTGAGACACAACAAGGCGCAAACTGAACTTTTCACCGCCAAATTAAGCGGCATTTTGAGGAAAGTAAAAACTATTGTTGTTTAGTGGAGACGAAATGGTAGAGACTAGAGACAGAGAGGAGGGAGAGAGAGAGAGAGGTTAGGAAAGAAGAATATGTAAGTGAATGATGACTGATGGCACGTATTTAAGTGCGGTACAGAAGAAATGCGTGTAAGGAGTTAAAACAAACGAATAAAAAAAAAAAGAGGGAAAATCAGAAGGAAAGTGAGAGAAAATTAGAAAAAGAAAGAAAATGAGTGTCGGTGGTGGGGTCTTAGATCATCTCACTATTTAGTATTTTAGCTGACTCGGTGTGTTTTTTTTTTTTTTCTTTTTTTTTTTTTCGTTTATGCTTTGTCTCCCACATGGGTTTTGTAGTACCTGTTGCAGTTGCGGCCTGTGACTGTGACCAAGCTAAGGCGAAGAGTGCTGAGTGCATGTGACGAATTTTAACACGTAGGTCCCTCGACTCACTATCCTTTTCCACTTCACTGGCGCAGTTTTGAATAATCCAAGCCATTGTTTGGTGCTTTTACGTTATACAAATACAAATACTACTCTTACTTACCTGAGTTATGTATTGCCTACAAATGGGAACTCACTTAAGTTTTGGACATAAATGGCCATCAAGTTGTTTGTTAGTGAGAATCTAAATTCTTACTCATGTATAGCTATGTGGATCATGCTGACACATGATTTCTTGCGACAAACTTGTTTAAATGGGGTTGTTAGGGCATCCACAATGGTGCTTTTTAATTTAAATAATATTTTTATTTATTTTTAAATATAAAGAACAAAATTTTTATTAAAATCCAATAGACTTTTTAAAGTTTAGGAGAGAAAATATGTTTTTTCAATAAAAAAACTTAATAGGAGAGATAAATCATAAATAAAATACATAAAAACTTATAATTTATTATTGAAAATTATGATAGAGAGTAAAATTTGACTCTCTAAATGTAGAGAGTCAAACTCACTCTTTAATTTATATTTAAAGAATAAAGAGTTTATTGGACTCTTATTTCTATAGATAAACTCTTTATAATAAAAAACAGTCATTTAGAGCATCTCCAAATTACTCTTTATATGACCTAAACTCTTTATTATAAAGAGTATATCCATAAAAACAAGAATCAACATGCTCTTTATCTTTAAAATATAAAATAGAGAGTGAGTTTGGCTCTCCACATTTAGAAAGTCAAAGTTCACTCTCTATCATAATTTTAATTAATAAACTACAAGTTCTTATACATTTTATTTATTAATTCTCTCTCTCATTAAATCTCTTTCTTAAAAAAATATATTTTCTCTCATAAAATTTAAAGAGTCTATTGGATTTGAATAAAAATTTTGTTCTTTATATTTAAAAATCAATGAAAATGTTCTTTATTTATATAAAAGATGCTCTTTAGAATAAATAATACTATTAAAGACGCTTTGAGCTTTGAAGGAATACAAATTAACTTACGGATATGCCATTAGTGCTTTTTCCATATGGGGTTAAGTGGGTTGTCAAAATATTGTTGTGGATGATGTGGGTATATTATTTTGTTGATTATTTATGTGACTGTAAATGTCATTTATTTCAGAAAGGTGTATCTCCTTGCCTTTGGTTTAAGCCTTTTTGTTCTGAAAAGTTGTACTGAAGAGAGATATGTTTTCATTATTTTTGGAAGTGAATTCTACGATTAGTTGGAGGTTATAAATGATGAATCCACAGAAATGGCGATGAATGTGGTATTTGAAGTATAGAAAAAGAATGGAAAATTAGGAAAAGGAGATGAAGAGCCATCCTCACGCATTACAATGTATTGAAAAAGCACATGCAGGATTTGATTGGTTTCGTGACATTTTGGCTTTGATCCACGATGCACAAGATGCCACATGAGTGTGAGGGATATATTCCCCTATTAATATTTTAATTTAATTTATTGGAACTTCGATGTTAAAATGTGAAAAATAAGAATAAGAAAATAAATTACACGCAGGACTCATCATTAAAATTTTGGCATTATTTGTTAACCTTGGTATTCAACTGGTTGACTCATTAACAGGGCGAAGAAATGGCGCCATTGTTTCTATTGTGCCAAAATTTAAACTAATACAGTATATATGCAAATTGCAATCACAATATACTATAAAGTAGACTCTATGGCTCACAACAGAAACTATCACATTCATATATTATAACCCAAATAGAAGGGTAATGTTAGCCTTACTCACTCCTCTATTCACTTCTCTTATTCACCTTTGTAAATATAAAGCATAATAAGGGTAGCATAAGTATAGTACGGATACCATATGTCATTTTAACAAATGTGAGTAAAAGAAGTGAGTAAAGAGAGTGAATAAGACTAACATTTTTTCAAATAGAATGCTTCATTGTTTACATGGTAATTACCTAGGTCCACAATCTTAAACAGTGTTTTTTTTTTTTTTTAATCGAAAGTGTTTGAACCAATCTGCGTGTACCTACTCTCCAACAACCGATAAAAATCAAACTTTTAATTAATACAAGAGTCCTTATCATTCTATCCAATCACCCAAGTGCCAAGGGTGGTTAGCAATCTTGAGCGTCCATGAATTGAAACTGATGAGCTGTGAGCCTGTGACGTTCAAATAAATTAGTCCTACTCTTTGATCATTATTTCATTTAATGAGCTCGTATTTTCATCTAAAATGATTAGACAAAAAAAAATCACCACCATACTCATCAAGCTGTCTCCTTTTTGTTTTGTCGTCATTTTGGAACGACCAAAGCTTTCTTTTGCAAGCTAGAACCATCCAGTCAAATGTCTCATGAGACCCATTTCACACCATCTCCAATCTCCATAACCCTTTAGACCCAAATGTCTTTGTCATTATGAGTGGAATCCAGCCAACACGGCAAGGGTTTAGAACTGAGACTAGAGATTAAAGTATTTAATTGGGAATATTAGTTACGGATCCTATAATCTTGACAACACAAAACTAATGGGATAAAATATCCAAGTGGTCAGAAGGGAATTGAAACCATTGACTTTTACTACTGAGCCCAACTCTTAGGTAAGGTGAATGGCTCAAATTAAATCCATGGAGCTGCAATTTTACTATTTTAATGACATAAATCCCAACGAATGTAACTTGCCGGTGGATTTAATTATTCTAAACTTTATTCAATGAATGTAACTTGCCGGTGGCAGCCATTAGATGTCATGGGTTGCCGAGCAGCGTCCCCACATTGAACTGTTTTGAGTCTTTACAGCACGTGCCATCATTGCAAACTAACATATTGAAGATTTGTCGTCTGATTCAAAAACAGCCTTAGTTTGGAGCCATATTACCTGCAACGCGGCACTTCGAATGGATGGCTGCCCGCCTGCCCCACTAATACAATGCTTTGTTTACGCGCCTTGAAATTAAAATTTCAAAAGCAATGCAACCTAAAACAAATGAAATGATAATTTGCGGCAGGTGTCAAGTTTAATACAAAAAAGTCTGCTGGTTAGTAGGGTCAATCATCCGCAATTGATGACCATGTTACACTCAAACCGTACAGGCAAGAGACTAGTAATCACATAATTGAGGTTTAGACAGCTCTTGAAGATAATTTTAATCACAATAGCACACCTGCAGGAATAGGCAACTCAATGTAGTTGTCAACACCAATTGAAGCTTTCATATTCCTGTCTTTATCTTATGTTACCCACATCATCATTCTATCTATGCCCCAAAAATTTTTCGATTCATTGACAAAGAATGACATAATATTCCTTTCTCATGAAATGAACACCATTTTTGTGACAACAGTAGATATACACACAGCAACAATTCACTAAACCTGAGCAAGTTTAAAACAACGCAAACACTAGTGACAGGTTTACCGCATCAATCTAAATGTTATAGACAATTATAAGTGGTGTGCTTAGAACAGTAAAATCATCCTTATAAAACTTAGATACCTTTGACACAGGTAAAAGAAAACTTACAAGCTTTAATCTATTAACCGTTCATAATAAAAGAATGGCTGAAAAATCCAGTACATGAACATTAGAGAGCCACTTGTCAAAACAGTTATTCGTGACTCTACATCCTATATTCATATTATTTTTGGAAATCTGTAAGATATCTAAAGCTTGTTTATAATCCAGCAAAGACTAGATGAGGTTAAAATGAAAACGTCAAACCGGTTATTTGTTGACCAGTCACTATGAAGAGGGATTTTATAGATCTCGCCCATCCCAATTTTGAATTTCTTCTCACCACATCAGTCAACCCCACTGGGCAAGATTGAGGTTGAGTATTAGCATCAGAAATAAAAATATGATTGAATGTTGTTCATCATCCAATCAGCCTGAGTACACTATAATCAATTATTCAATTAGTCAAAATCTTGCACAAGAGTCTCGTCAAGTAGGCAGGTAGTGCAGCAGACAGAAGAAAATTCCAGATGTGTCTCTAAGTTCATGTTGAAATCAACATTGGTCTAACAAAGGCAATAAACCAGCTATAGGGTTTATAGACCAAAATAAAAAATGGGTTTAAGAGTTCACCACAACAACCATTTAGTACCAAATCAAAATTATAAAAAGCAACAAAAGAACAGAAACCCTAAAATGCTCAACACAAACAAAACCATGATGCATAAGAAGCTCAAGACGGACTAATGACAATAGCATTATACAGTCAGAAAACCTATTCATTCATCTTATTTCTGATTTTTTTTTCATAAAACAGATTTTAGATAGACATTACCCCAAATGTTTCGGAGAATTACCAACTGACCAAACCAATATCGGAAATAAGTTTTACATCAAAACTTAAAACAGAAAATACATGTAAAAATCTTATACCTTTGTTTAGTTCAAAAGACGAAATAGGCAAAGGGACAGGGAGATTAGCTCCCCTGTTTGGTAGGAAATAAATAACATGAGAAAATGTACCCAGAGACCAACAAAACACAATCCTTCCACATATGAGAAATACGGATAACTGTAATTTACGCTTTATACTGATCGTAAATTAATATAATTTTTAATGTTTTCTCTGAAAGGGATACCAAAGAAATGGAAGGGACAACTTCTTCTCATATATAACCAAACGTACAGTAAACTTTCCTTTTTCCTCAGAATCTCAATACTTTCTTATCCTCCAATGACTGAGTGTAAATCTCTTCATACACAATCGTCAAACATTTCCTACTAATTTTCATCCCTCCAAGAACCCAAGCCCCAAAATAGAACAAGGAACGGGGTACTATTGAAATGACAATAGGGAGCACGAAACAGATACGAAATCATCAAAGCAGTTGATCAGTTCATACAAATTTGGTTTGTTTTAGTCCATATCACAATAGCAAGTTAAAAAATAACAACAACCAGGCGTATATCACTTCAAACGGTCACAAAACAAAACTCCTTCATTGCTAAACTCAAATAATAATAAAAACTCTAAAATCCATCTCTAGTTAATATAAAATTACATGAAACCACAAAATGACTCACAAATCTCTCCATTTGAATCAATTTTCCTCGCCGAAGAGAAGGCGCAGACGAGAAGCGAAACGGCTGGTCGATTCGAGAGAGGCTTCGTGGAGGAGGCTGCTCTTAATGTTGTTCATTCGATGAGTTAGGGATTCTTGCTCCTCTTTAAGAGCTGAAGTGTCCTCTTCAAGTTCATGGAGGTAATACTTCTGGCCCAATGATCTGAGGCTCAACAACAATATTCCGGACATCGCGAATAACTGGATGAAGCTGTGTTTGTGTTTTATTGCATTTTTTATAAATGGTAGTGATTTTTTAGGGTTTGGGCCCTTTGGGGCGGTGCTCCTGGGATTTGGCGGCGTACGCCATGATGAACGAGTGCGGGGGTGCCAAAATGACCGAAGTAGTATATTACCGAAACTAACGAGAAAATTTAGGTGCCCGTGTCCCCCAAGTATGTATTTAAGAAAATGGTCTTGAACTGTTCATCAAAATTTTATAATTTAAAGAGTTGATGTGGTATAGTTAGGATTATTAAACACGTAAAATGGGGTAAAATAAAAAGATAAACATTTGTGGGCCACAAACTATTCACGTCGCTTAATCGAAATTCATCAGTTGAAAACGTGATTTATTAACGAAAGGGAGACGCGATTTTTTTCCGATCCAACACCAATTGATTTGCACCCTAAATCAATTTCTTGAACCCTAAACCGATACAGTCGCGATTTTCGGCGATATAGTCGCGATTTTCGATCGATTTGTTGAACCCTAAATCGTTTTCTTCAACTATAAACGGAATCTGCGCGATTTCCGGCGATACAGCCCATATTTCCAATCCAAACTACAAATTTTCACACCAATTCAATCCAAAACCATGGCTGACTCACAATGACGCACAAACCCAACGCCACTTCGAATCCTAGATTCCGTGGTGCAAGCAGTTCAATGGCTACTCCGTGGATCTCTGACCATTGAAGGTGGTCCACACGTGAGGAGACGTCGCGGCACAAGAACAGAGGGAAGAACCAGCAAAGGGGTCTGAAGACGGAAGTCAGGCGAGAATTCAGCCCAGAAGGGGATCTCCGAGAGAATGCAGGCCAGGAGGTGGATCCGGCGATAATTCGGGCAGGAGGAGTCGCCGGAGGATCCAGGCACGAGGAGAAGGCCGGCGAAGATAGGGTACGTAATTTGGGAATCTTGCTTGTAATTTCGCTTAAGCGATCATTTGTATCCTTAAGCGATTATTCTGTTTTACTCGTGATCGCACAATGATCGCTTAAGCGATAAAAATGATCGCTTAGCGATTTGAGATCTGGGCAGATGATTCTGCCCGACCAAAGATCGCTTAGAGATCATGAGTGTTTACTCTTGGTCGCTTAAGGATCTTAGGTCTGGGCAGAATCACAATTAAGAGTTCTCAGTTAACTTTTGGTCGCTTAAGCGATCTTGCATGAGACAGTAAAGATCTCTTAGCGATCCGAGATCGCTTAAGCGACTACAGTGGTTTTGGTTTATTTTTGTTGATAACATTTTATTTATATCGATTGTGCAGATGGCGGACCGTAAGCTATGAGAGTACGTTGGAGCAAGTGAGAAGGTACCCTACTTCCCTGCAAGGTGACGGTGAGGTCGAGCTGGGAGGTTTTTGACAGAATAAGGGCCATTTTAGCTAAATAGGCACGTGAAAGAGATTTTGGTGACACTTGTTTCGGTCAGTTTTTAAGAATCGGAAAAAAAGTGGAAAAAGTCTTTTGGGGGCAGGGAGTTTACATGTTGATGCACTCAGTAAATGCAAGAAAAAAAATGAAATGTGGTTCGTGGTGGAGGGAAAGCCACTACGGTTTGGTATGATGGAGTATGCGTTGGTGACGGGCTTAGGATACGGGAAAGTGCCAACTAAGGCGGAGGCAGACGCAGTAAGGAAGAGTGCGGAGCCATAAACGTTTGTAAAAAGGTTTTGAAAGGGGCAAAGTCTATTACAGGAAAAGTTTTAGAGAAGGGCTATCTACAGTTCGGTTTAGTATGCAGAGAAGATAAAAGTGTGCTTGATATTGTTTTTACATTCTATCTTATTGGCTGGTGACTCAACAAAAGCTATTAGAAAGATTGGTTGCTGTTTGTAACGCCTTGGAGTTCTTTAATTCTTATCCGTGGACGATATCATTTGAGCGAACCATCAAGACCTGAAAAAACCAGACATGGCGTTAAAGCATGCCGAATGGGGCGGAAGGCTAAACCAAGCACGTATAATTTGTTTGGCTTCCATGGGCAATGCTGTAAATATAATAGCTCTATGTTATATTTTTATAATATGTGTGTTTGAATAATGACATGGACTGTTTTTTACAATGTAGGCTTGGATGTACGAGGCCATCCCTGTCTTCGCTAAGCGGGGGGGAGGAGCAACAATGTGAATGTGCACAACAAAATTTCCTAGGATGTTGCGGTGGCATGTCGAGAGCTGTAACCATTCGGATTATGGCCATTAGAGATTAGATTCAAGCAGCTGGGGTAAGATTGAAGGATTAAGCTTTGAATATGCAGTTGCTTTTTTATTTTGCTTCAATCTGATTGATTTTTATTTCTTATTGCAGGAGTCGTCCGTCCCTTTTTGACCCCTATTGGGTGAAGCGGAAGAGGACTATGTCACATCTTTCAGCAATGGAGATGAAACGGATGAACAGATAGACCGCCTGATGCGGGACCTAAAAGGGGTCACGCATGTGATGGCAGTTGCAGGGCCATTGCTTGACATGTCGTTGATGTTGAGATAATGAAGCTCGGGGGGCCGAGGATGAGGAGGAGAAGAGGAGGAAGAGGTTCGTATGCCTCACAAACCGGTACAACAAGTACCGCTTTGCTGAGACATCGGCGTAGGGAGAATGAGGTTGTTGACCTCATAAATGACCTTTTGAGAGTTTTACAATAGCCGTTTATGCAAAGCTTGAAAGATGGAAGAAACAATGAAAGGTGGAGAAGAAAGTGGATAAGGTGGGAGGGAAAGTAGCTACAATGGGGACGAAGTTGGTACAATGGAGGAGGAAGTTGGTGGAGAATTAAAGGCGTTGAAGTGCAAACTGGTTGAAAAGAGAAGCCGAAAGAGCAATTTGTGAAATCGCCTACATGGTAGTGACACAGGTAAAGAGAAGAAATGAGAGAAACAAATGGAGGAACACCAGAAAGAGAGGAGTTTGAGGAGGTTGGTGGTGGAAGTGGGCGGTGATAATGGAGGAGGGGGAGTGGGAGGCGAAGGAAGCGGGGATGTAAAATTGGAGGAAGGGAGGAAGTGGGGAAGGGAAATTGGACTCAATGTCGATTTGTAAGGCTAATAAGGAAGGAAAAAACTCTTTTATGCCTATTACAATGGATCGGGATTTGATGGCCATAAAAGTGTAAGACAGGGGATTATCCCCGGGAATGGTTTCAGAAGTTGTTGACGATCGAACGGGCTTAGGACTCGGTGATTTATTTTCACTTAATTTTCCTTATTTTTGCCTGTGTTTTCCATACTTATCTTGTTGTTTTTATTTGATGTAGCACATCGATGAGATATTGGCACTGATGAGGCTACGACAGACTAGTGATGTGACTGTTGTATCCCGACAGTGTTATCACAGATGTGGCGTTTGGGCAAACGTTTGTTTCAGCATATCGGTCTTTAATTAAAAATGCCGTTGCTAGTGGTGTAGCAAAAGAACCGAAGCGAAAACGATTGGCCCACCACAGTCGGATTGCATCCCTGTGATTTCCGTTTGATGATAGGATTATGCATTACGTAAGGGGATCACCCAAATATGGCCACGATTGGGCCTTTGTTAAAGAGTGTACTGCATCATCCTCGTCAACAGATGCATTGGATAGCAGTCGTTGTGCATCTAGAGGAGGGGTGTCTGAAGACCTTGACTGCAACCCAACCATTTGTCGAGACAAGCATTGGAGGTCGAGTTGGAGCCACTGTCTAGGTTGTTCCTGCGGCTGTTGCGTGACAGCGGGATGTTTGGGCAGTTGGGTGATCAGGTACTAACCGGAAAGTGGCGAATTCAGCGCTCTACCTGCCCAATAAATGAGTCAAGGTAAATTTTGTTTAAAACTAACTTACTAATACAATTGTTCTATAAGTTTATTATAATGCTAATGTCTTCTTCCTATTGTAGCGCTGAATGTGGGGCATATGCCCTGAAATTATTCAGTTCGATGACCAATAGCCCGATGGACACTGAATGACGAAACAATGGAGAATTTCGAGCGCTGGGCTGTCGACTGCTTCCATGGGCAGATGGATCCGTTTTGAGTGACCAGAACCCAATCAAAGGTATGAAAGATGGACGCTGAATTGTGTAGTTTATGTGATGTTGTGTTCATACTTGGGTTTTTTGAGTTAGTTTATGTGATACCTGTTATAATTATCAATAAGGTGTATATACATGTTCTTTCAATGGTGTTTTGATGTTTACTTTGTGTCAACTGCTTATTTAATTTGTTCTCATGGCTTGGCTATTTTCTAATTCATGCCTTTCTCATATTATGGTGTTTTACACTGCAGGTCACTAAGATGGAATGGTCAATCTCCACAAAGTCGCCGAGGCACCATATTAGCCGCCCTTGTAGATATCATCTTGAATTTGTTGATGCTAGTGCAGAGCCAGAAAGCATCGGGAAGAATGATGTCGTGGGCATCTTTTCAAGCATGGACTGCCCTGATACCATTCACTGTGGATTCAAACTGTTTGCATCAAAAACTAATTATAAATAATTTACTATGTATGGTGTGATCATTGAAGAATTGGATCTGATATTTGGGATATATTTTTGTTTGCATATAAGATAATTCATCAGCGTTTCAATTTACTAGTATGGTTTGTCCATATAAGATCATGGTCTTTAGTAATAATCGCTTAAGCGATACGAAAGGTCACTTAAGCGACATAGTCTGGGCAGATGTCATTCTGCCTCGGAAAAGAGCTTAAGCGTCATAAATCGCTTAAGCGATCATGCGTATTTTAGTAATATCGCTTAAGCGATACGAAAGTCGCTTAACCGATCATAGTCTGGCAGATGTCATTCTGCCTCGAAAAGATCGCTTAAGCGATCAAAATTGCTTAAGCGGTCATGCGTATTTTAGTAATAATCGCTTAAACGACAAAAGGTCGCTTAAGCGATCATAGTCTGGGCAGATGTCATTCTGCCTCGGAAAAGATCGCTTAAGCATCATAAATCGCTTAAGCGATCATCGTATTTTAGTAATAATCGCTTAAGCGATACAAAGGCGCTTAAGCGATCATAGCCTGGCAGATGTCCGTTATTACATTTATATTAAACATATAGTTCCTTTACACGTCAGTATGAAACCTATAGGTTACGATTCGTTCAGAGCACCTGTTCCGTTATTACATTTATATCAAACATATAGTTCCTTACACGTCAGTATGAAACCTATAGGGTTTACGATCGTTCAGAGCACTTGTTCCGTTTTACATTTATATCAAACATATTTTCCTTTACACGTCAGTATGAAACCTATAGTTTTACGATTCGTTCAGAGCACCTGTTTCCGTATTTACATTTATACAACATATGGTTCCTTACACGTCTAGAAACCTATAGGGTTTACGATTCGTTCAGAGCACTTGTTCCGTTATTACATTTATCAACATATAGTTCCTTTACACGTCAGTATGAAACCTATAGGTTTACGATCGTTCAAGCACTTGTTCCGTTATTACATTTATATCAAACATATAGTTCCTTTACACGTCAGTATGAAACCTATAGGGTTTACGATTTTTCGAGCACTTTTTCCGTTATTACATAATATCAAACATATAGTTCCTTTACACGTCAGTATAAACCTATAGGTTTAGCATTCGTTCAGAGCACTTGTTCCGTTATTACATTTATATCAAACATATAGTTCCTTTACACGTCAGTATGAAACCTATAGGGTTTACGATTCGTTCAGAGCACTTGTTCCGTTATTACTTATATCAAACATATAGTTCCTTTACACGTCAGTATGAAACATAGGGTTTACGATTCGTTCAGAGCACCTGTTCCGTTATTACATTTATATCAAACATATGGTTCCTTTACACTCAGTAATAAACCTATAAGGGTTTACGAATCGTTCAGAGCACTTGTTCCGTTATACATTTATATCAAACATATAGTCCTTTACACGTCAGTATGAAACCTATAGGGTTTACGATTCGTCAGAGACTTGTTCCGTTATTACATTTATATCAACATATAGCTCCTTTACACGTCAGTATGAAACCTATAGGTTTTTACGATTCTTCAAGCACCTGTTCCGTATTACATTTATATCAACATATGGTTCCTTTACACATCAGTATGAAACCTATAAGGGTTTACGAATCGTTCAGAGCACTTGTTCCGTTATTACATTTATATCAAACATATGGTTCCTTTACACTCAGTATGAAACCTATAGGGTTTACGATTCGTTCAGAGCACTTGTTCCGTTATTACATTTATATCAAACATATAGTTCCTTTACACTTCAGTATGAAACCTATAGGGTTTACGATTCGTTCAAGCACTTGTTCCGTTATTACTTTTATCAAACATAGGGTTTACGATCGTTCAGCATATTTTTATATTGGTTTGCTTAATTATTTAGGAAATATTAGTATATTTTTTAATTTTCGACCCATTAGTGAATTAATTTCATTAATACCAAGAAAAGTTTAAAAATTAACAAAAACACCCCCACCCACCCAACTTCCCAGATTCTAGCTACCGCCGACAGCAACGAACGACCAATGGCCGGTAATGGCCAGTTGTGACCTTTTCCGGCCATATCCACCGTCATGGACTTTCAATGAATGTCCGACTTTGACGGTCAACGACGCCAAATGTTGGCCATCGTTGACCGCACACGACGGCCATATATTTGGCTGTTACAGACGGCAAGCTCTGGAATTTTTCGTTCGTCTACGCCAGTTTTGGCGGATCGTGGGCTTTTCCGGCCACATCCGTGGTCGATCTGGCCGAAAAGGCTATATGAGGGCCCTATCGGCCAGATCCGACCACTGTGCATCGAAACGCCCTTTCCCGGTCAGATTCCGGCTCCGGTGGCAAGAATCTGTCACCATGGGTAGGTGGGGGTGTATCTGTTAATTTTAAAACCTTTTGCAGAAGAATCGGTTAAGCGATACAATGGATCGCTTAAGCGTCATGTGATTGGCAGAAGCAAATCTGCCCAGGTCCATGATCGCTTAAGCGATCAGTGTATCGCTTAAGGAATATTGCCTTTTCCCCTGGTCGATTAAGCGATCGTGGATCGCTTAAGCGATCAGCACCTGGGCAGAATCAATCAGTCCAGGTGCACGATCGCTTAAGCATCCTTATCGCTTAGCGATCCTTCTGCGAAAACACTTTGTCGCTTAAGCGATACACTTAGTCGCTTAAGCGATCGTGGGCAAATATAACATTTGCATCTTTTCTCCTAAATTTTGACAAACTAAAATTACCAACACGTATTAATTCCATACTTTTTCCTCAATTTGACAGCCTAATTCCAAACTAAATCACCAACAAATATTTAGACCATGTAATAAGAATACACAATTAAAGGTTTTTATTAAGGTAACAATAAAATTTAAACATCAATAATTTCATCCTTCTTCGAATCGACCCTAATTACTTCTGGCAACTGCTTCTCTTGTGACCAGTTGCTTGCAAATTGAGCACTTATTCATCTTCCGGGGAACCTCAAAGGCTGATGGAATACGCTTAACCCTTTTTCTCCCCTTTGGTGTCTTCTTCAATGGCGGCTGGAGGATATGTCAGCCCCCTCTGGCGGCACTCCCCACTGCTCTTCTGAGGCACCGGATATACGTTTCTGAATATGCTAGCATGTAGTGATCTGTCATATAGAAAGGGGAGCAAAGTTCCATGTAATTCTTGAACCAAAATCCGGCTTCCGTTGGTGTTTCAGTGCTGCTAGTGCATGAGGACAAGGTAAATGTTGTGTCAAGCACTTTACAGCTGCAAGTTTTTGTAACAAGGTTAACTAGGGCATCCGGACCATAGCCGCGCCAAGTAAACTCTTGAGCATTAAGAGATAGGCAAACAGTGCATTGACAGTTCCTATGTTCTCGCAATATTTTTCAGCTGACGGACAAGGGTTGTAGTAAAATATCTGACTCCATACGACGCTCATGGAACCACCGCGACAGTGTCCTTTGGATTGCATCAAAAGTGCAACTATTGGAAACTCTCTTTCTATTAACAACTTCGAATTTATGGACTCAGCTAGGTTCGTGGTCATGACATCAAACTTCTTCCAGGAAAGTAAGCTCTACTCCATCTCTCGAAACCAACATCATGCTCAGTATCTTAGCAACTCTAACATCCTTGATTCGGATTGCTGGAAGTGTTCCTCGAACTCATCAACCCGATAAGCTTTTGCTGCCATGTAGTATGTCTGAAGGAGGCCAGCACACTTAAACTTTTGTTTTATGTTCTCACCAAGGTGCCTCATACAGATCCGTGATGTGCTTGACGGTAAATAGTGGCAATCCCCTTCTTATAGTTGTGCTCTATCGGATATTATGCACAACTCGTCACTGTCAGGCACTATCGTACGTAACTGCTGAAAAAACCAAGTCCATGACTCGTCATTCTCAGATCAACCACACACCATGCAACAGGATATGTGTGATTCTCGCTGTCCTGTGTAGTGGCCACCAACAATGTACCTCCATACTTTCCCGTTAGAAACAACCATCAACAGCCAACACCTTTCTCATGTTTACAAACCCCTTATAGCAGCACCATAAGCAACAAAAAAATTTTAAACATCATATTCCTTGTCCACTCAAAGCCGTCTTGCTACCTTGGTTTGTCAACTCAAGCATATACGGTACGCTTCTAATACTGCGTACCCGTGCTCCGGCGTGCCCCTCACAAAATCTTGTGCATGTTGTCTACCTTTCCAGCATTTCCAGTATAACAGCACATCCCAACTCTGTGCGCAGAAGTCTCTGAATGTTTAGAGAGATAGACCTTTCCCTTCGACGAACCGACTTTGACAAATTGTCCAATAACAGTCGCGACGCTTGTCGATGCTCACCGAAATATGTCCCAACCACATGTGTGCTCACGGGTATATTGCTAAGAATAAACTTTTCCGACTCCGCCAACCTTCTACAATAAACCCGCCACTTGCACTTCGGTCACGACATGCAACCGTCACAGCCAATGAATTTGACTTTTTGGTGATGAACTCAAAATTACCTTTCACAGCAACAGTTTTAGCTTCCTCACCACTTCCTCTTTGTTGTCAAATAAATACCCTATGCGCAAGTCCGATCCATCCGTAAAGACAGAGCTGATCCACTACTCCCTCCAATTGCCCCCTTTGAACCTGCATAAACGACCATAGTTCTCTTCCTCACAATCACGCCTTCTGCATAATCTTTATTTAGGAATCTCTACATCTGTGGGAACATCTACGGGGTCCTCCTCCTCAACATTTTCATTCTGCCCCCCATCACCAACCCTTCTAGAGTGTCCTTCTCACCCCCAATTCACCGCTACTCTTGATTTTTCAGCTAACAAATCAATGGCCTCGTAGTTCAAATTACAACGCAGCAAACTCCCGCCTACATCCTCGTTACCCCTTCCTTGGAACCAACTTCCACGGTTTTTCACATAAGAAACCCTTAAAATCGGCCTCGAACCACTATCGCCATATCAATCATAATAAGTTCACACTTTCATCCGACTTTATACAGCAGAGGTACCTTATAATTTTCAGGAGCTCTGCTTAAACATACTTCACAACTATATCACTACGCGAGCAACCAAATTACCTCTTCTAATTTTTCATCAATCAACTCATCAAAACTAACCTCTGTGCTCACAGCAATTGGCATAACTTCTTTGCTCTTCCCAATCCACTTCCACCTACTTTCTTCCTCACCCACTCACCAAAATATTCAACACCCAAAACAACTTTTCCCATGTATAATAATAGCCAACTACCTGTAATGCAAGAAAACACATATTTCTAAATGATGTACTAAGGGTTCAAATATTTAAAAAGAATCTCACATTCGCATATTTGGTCTGATGTATCGCTTGAACGATCATGGTTATTTTACTGGATCGCTTAAGCATACAGTGATCGCTTAAGCGATTCAGTATAATAACCTTGATCGCTTAAGCGATCTTATGCGATTTACTGATCGCTTAAGCGATCTGCTCCATACAACAGACTTTAACAGGATCGCTTAAGCGATCTTATGCCACATACCTGATCGCTTAAGCGTCTATCTGCTGCATTACCAGACCTACCGAATCGCTTAACGTACACCGGATCGCTTAAGCGATCCATCGTGCCCAGAACACATTTTCAGTCATCTCCACCTACAATCGATCCATCATACCCAGAATAATACCCACAACAAATTTTCAACAAATTCACTCCTTTCAACCACATTACATCAAACACAACCAACAACCTAAACAACTAAATCAAAATCATAACCCAACCCCATCCATTATTAATCTTTGTAAATCTAAATATAAAATGTAAAAAGAGATACACTACTTAGGCGAAATGTCAGGAGGAGGAGGAGGGGATCTTTGCCGGAGAAGATGTTAATGGTGAGGAGAAGAAAGTGTTAATGGCGGAGGAACAAGAAGATATAGAGGATGAAGAAGAAGAAGAGTACAGAAGGAGGAAGAAAAAGATGCAGAGGAGAAGAAGATGTTGACGACGCCAGAGAAGAGAAAAGATGCAGGTAGAGATGCTTAATGCGGGAGGAAGAGAAGGTTTTTGGGTTTATTTGCAACAATTTCGGGTTTGTGGAAATATAGATAATTTTGAAAAGATTCATTAATCCTAATTAAGCACTATTACCCTTAATCAATAATATGGCTATTTAGTTAACATTTCAAAACTTGATAGCCTTTTAATTAAATGTAAACTTCAAATGTCTTTTTAATAACTTCCCCCGAAACTAACAGTCTACTTAATTGGACTCAGATGTTTATGTGGCAACATCAGAACCATCAATATATATATATATATCCGTTTGGATCGGGAGTATATAAGATAAGAGTAATGCTACAGTTACCAAAAGATGTGCACCGAATTTGTGCACCGAATAACGTAACACAATCCTAACCATTTATTCATTATCAGTTAATATTAATCAACGGTCAAGATTTTGCCACGTCATTCGGTGCACAGATTCGATGTGTATTTTCGGTGACTCTATCATTTTCCATAAGATAATGGGGCCATCTTTGTTTATTTTGTAAAATTTCGATGTTTGATTTGCAAATAATGAAATATTACGGTAATCTTTTATTACAAATAGTGTTTACTGTTGGTAATATGAGAATAATCTTATTACCTTGTTAAGAGCTGTTATTAAAACATTACTTGGATAATCTGATTTTTCTACCTATTTTACTCTTGATTAAAAATCATTTCTAATACAATTGCTTTCAAATATCTACCAAATAACAATTAACCCAATCCCTCTACATTTGAAAAATTAGTTAAAACACCCTAACCACAAAAAAGTTTAAAAGTTAACAAAATACCCCTAACCACCCAAGACCACCGTCGGTTGTGACTCACCACCACTGACCACTGACGTCATAGATTTGTGGCCGTGAAATGGCCATAGATTTGGTTGTTTTTCAACCATGGACATTTTCAGCTTTGTCGACGCACGATCGACCATATACGACCAGTTGTGACCATTCTATCGACAGTCAAAGGCAACCGGAGGTGGTGGTTGGTTGCCGACAGTGGCTTGGGATGGGTGGATGTGATTTTACTACAAATTAAAGTTTTATATGATTGGAGTATTTTAACAAAATTTCAAATATAGGGAGTTAAAAAAATTATTCAAAAAATAATAATAATAAATACTATTATATTAATATTTAAAAAAGACAGCAATTTAATAATCTACTCCCTCCGTTCCGAAATAAAAGTCGTTTTAAGCAGTTACACACTTTTTAATAAACTAATTTTTTAATGTAAATTTTTTTTCTCTCTCCTATTGTATCTCTTTTTAGCTCCTCCCTTGAAAGTGCCATGGGAAATGCAATGAAAAAAAAAAGCAATGATAGGAAAATTATGTTAAATGGCGTTTGAAAGAGAGAGAGAGAGAGAGAGGAGATGTCATAGACAAGATAACGACACTTAATTTGAAAAAAATTTAAACCCTCAAAACTCATTTATTAAAAAACAGAGACAGTATATAACATTCCCACCCATTTATCTTTCCAACTAAACATATTATTCACCAATTTATTCGAACCAACCAAACACATTTTCTAAACATTCTCAATGATCTTCAAGGTGATCTTTCTTTCTATTAATATAATATTCTCCTATAATAAAACATTATATGATCCAAATGCCCCTAAGAAATAAAAATTTGACAGTTGTGGAAATTGCAATCCAAAAAATAGCAGCCAAACATCCATAAGATTACATTGATTATGCAACAAGAATCGTCTATATAATTTATAAATACTGTTAAGTCTGTTATTTAACTGGCAATGCTGCTGAGAAATTGTTTGAGAGGCTGCTTCTCTATGTGAATTCCTCTCAGCTTCGTCCAAGACAAATCTCGTTTACATATCTTTTGTTTACTGCTGCTGCTGTCATTCAACTCAGCAAAAGAATATTTAAGTGAATTTCTCTAATTCGCTAGTTCATTTCCTTAATGTTATTGCTCTTCCTTGTCCTGGTAAACCAATTCCGTGCAATTAGTAATGGCATTATAGGAGGTGACGCATATGTTTGCCATCAGAAATCCAATGTTCCACACTGTTTGCTCTCTATACTCTTTGCTCCGCTAGTTTGTTTCGCGTCCTTTTTACGATCATTATTGAGGCCTTTATTCCGTCCTATGCCCAACTTAGGCAAACCTCGATTCAGTCCCTCCAGCAGGACGCAAGCTTTACACCATTTCTGTGCATGAAGCAGAAATGCAATGATAAGAATCATGGTCACAGAAACCTTGTGCATATAATCAGAAACATGGTTGTATTGCTAGAAATGCTTTAGTTAATCAGTGTACTTAATCATTCATTGTGCTGTATCAATTGCCTGTTCAAAATCTTCATACAGATAGAAGGCTTACCTGGCTAGAAATGTAGCCACAGCGTTCACAGGTACCCTGCTCTGGCATTTTTGTTGAAGTGGCTATTCTGAAATTCTCTCCTGATTTAATGATGTCAAGTATGGCCCTGGGCCTGCATTCAGAATCCATTAAATAGTGGTAACATTTAATATAGCTTATACGAGGTTTATTTGGAAAAAATTCAAACAAATTTGCTTCACTTTGTGTCAACTGAATCACCTTATTCTCTCCAAATCTTTAATGAACTCACGAGCAAAACCACGATAAGCATTTGGAGAATATATGCCTGCAATTACAATAACAGAACTTTAAAGAGATAAGGGACCAGTAAAACAACAAAATTTGTAGATTAAAGGTTAGAGGGAAAAAAATATTAAATGGGAATAAGAAATGAACAATTACATTCGGTAGAGAAGTAGTCTAGCCTCTTGAAATAAGCATACGTGAACATCTGGTTAAGGATTCACAGCTATTGCAGTAAATAGTACATGTCAATATATGCAAATCAAATAAGTCCACAAAAACCAAGCATTGCAACAAGAAGGATATATTACAATCTCCTTCTCATACGTGTACTTAAAAGGTTTGCATCTTGGAATTGGTCCATCTTCACCAGTTGTTATTGATGTACATCTACTCAATCTACACAAACACAGCCTGAACTTAGTTCCATGAAAAGGAAAGGATAAAACTGAAAGATAACCTCATTAAACAATTTGTTACCTAGCAATATCACCTCGTAAGATGTTCAAGAGAACTGTTTCTGCAATATCATCTGCATTATGTCCAGTAGCCAGCTTGTCCACTTCCAACAAAGAAGCACCTCGATCGAGGGCCTATAAAACATTGATCAATTAATCAAGTCATTCTATCCTAACCCTAAGATGACTAAAAAACTGCCAGAAGTGGTTAACTACACGTACAGCTGGTACCTAGTCTTAAGACAAAGACTCCTTAAGACAGAAATAAAGTGAGTAGTTTTGCATTTGTCTCAGAAATCAGAATCCTATGATTCAGTAAATTCTCTGTTATTTGATAAAATCCTTTTTAGCTGTATCATCTGAAAGGAGCAGGAGAGAGAAGAAATCCTCGAGTCCATTTCTTTAGAAGAGATGGAAATCAGAAAGACCATCAATTTTAGCCCCCATAGATTGCTGTTGGAGATGTTTTCTAAAATTCTACAATTTTCAATCTATAAATGTTTTGCAGCAGCCAAAGAGCTCTAACAAGAACATTTCCCCACATATACATTAAGGCAAACAACATAAAAAATATCTCCTAAAGCACAGAGATTAAAAAAGAAAACATATACCAATTTTACAAATCAAAATGATAGTGATTGTTTTGAAGAATTCCAATCTCAACCAATGAAGGGAAGGCAGCTCAAAATCTATAATGCCTATAACTTGCCAGAAGCAACAGCTATGGTAGAATTGTCAATAATAAGAAAAATAAAAAGCTGGTTTATATTATTTTAGAGAATATAATCCCTATACCTGACGACGGAAAACACCACAGAACGTGCAGTTATTCTTTAAACCAATCATCTTCACTATTTCATCCATTGTCCATCCATATAAATCCTTGTAAGAAACAATCCTTAGTGGCAGGCCATACTGGGGAGAGAGGGAAAAAAAAAAAAAGTGAGAGATAATATAAACGCATGAAGAAAATAATAAAACAAAGAGAAGCATAGAGTGATCTTATTGAATTTTTTTTCTTACAAATTCATAAGTCATAATTAGAAGAAACAATTCTTTAACGAAAGAAAAACATGAAAAATTTTGCACTTGGTCCTGATATGGTTTTGCTCATATGAGATAAAGAAAAAATCTGACCTGCATTTCATTTCTTTTGACAGTCTCCAGTGAGTCATCCCTGTAACCTGTAATGCCCTCATCAACTGACAAGAGGAAGAGGTCCAATCCGTAGTTGTGGCGCCGATTCAGCTCTGACAGTACATAAGCAAGAACGGTAGAATCTGCAGCAAACAGAAGCGGGAATGATGGTTAAAAGGGCAGCAGATGATTCAAAAGAGTTTAATACTTCAAATAATAATAATAATAAAAAGCATTCACCTTTTCCACCAGATGCGCCAATGGCAATACGCTCACCGGGCTTGAATAGCTGGTTGTCTACAATCACTTGGTGAATCTCCTCCTCAAAAACCTCATAGAAACACTCCCTGCATATCTTTACAAACCAAAAACTATGCTGGTAATTGCATCATAATAATAACAACAATAAAGTATTACGAAGATTATCATAACAAGGCAGCCCAATCCACTTTCTAAATTATTACAATCAAACTAATTTGAAATTTCATTTTTGAATTATAATTCATTAGTTTGAGGTGAGAAAATTTAAAAAAAAAAAAAATAGCACAGCTTTAACGGGAAACAAACAGGGGATAGAAAGAAAAAGTAAAGTTACCTGTTCTAGGGTTTTAGGTCTCTTCAGAGCAGCCCTTCTCTGGTTACAGATACAACAAAGGCGACCCCCAGCCTTTCTCAGCTTCGTGTCGGCTTCATCCATACCGAGTCCAAAGTCTTTAGCAGTAAAACTAACGGCACAGTGATATGAAATCGTTCCTCTAGGCCCGAATTGTTGTTGGCGGTGGAGATCCAAAGGCGGGCAATAGATTTTTACTTGTTTTAATTGTTGTTATTGGTGGTATTAATTAACATAATTGTCCGTATAATTTACCCTTTTTTTTTTTTTCTTAACTTTGACTGTCCGGAGTCTCTACTAATTTATGTTATTAATTCTCGATAAAATAATCTACACTGATGTCTGTTTTCATAAATTTTCTCTTACAATTTTAATGTTATAACTTGTAATTATCAATCATAATTTATCAGATGAAACCTATATAAAATCTATTATGAGCTGTTTAAGAAAAAATTTATAAAATGAAATTATGAGTGTAACCTCTCCTTCTCAAAAAAGACTAACACAAACCCTACTTACATCGCTAATGCTCAAATAAAAATACCGAACCTGAAACATGTTTCTCCTTATAATTTACCCGAGCTTGTAAAAATACAAGCTGGGCTTAAGTTATGATTTAGATTTACTATTTTCTTCCTGATGCTTATAATATATACCCCAATCTTAATATCCAATTATAACAAGTTTATTTGAATTTTTTTCTTTTTACTTTTTATTAATTGAGGATTATAACCAGGTTATTTGTTAAATCTCATTTAATAAAAATTTGTCCTTCTTGATTTCATCTGATGTGAACAAAACAAGTTTATATGATCGAAGCTCCCACAAGGACAAGGAACTTGTTATGTGTAAGTCAAGCAAACTCAAATCTTATTCTATTAAAGCGTAACTAGAAAAGAGAGATCATGTATGCCAAAACAAATTTGATTTTACTTGAAGCAAACTCAAATGTTATAGAATGTATTAATAAAAAAAAACAATAAATTGCTACAAAATGTGAAAAGTTATATACTCAATATGCAAATGAGCTATATTTTACGGGCCAATCAAGCCCCAAACCTAATTTTGTACAAGAATTTTTCAAAATATTTCCGTGTATCAGAAGAGGTACACGGTCTACAACACATAATGAAACCATTATCCCTTTCAACAACCAAAAAAAAAAAAAATAATAATAATTTAGCATTTGTCCCGGCAAGAGTCACCCTGAAGCCGTTGATGTATATCCTGCCGTAGGATCTCGATATATTCCTGCATGAGACCAAAGTTAGGAAAAAAAAAAAAAAAAAAAAAACTGTTAAGCTCCAGAACATCACAGTAACGATGAAATTTAAAGTGAATCATTGTGTGTGATACTTACATGTGCAAGACCTTCGTCACTGCACAACTCATCCACAAGGTCTCCAGGTATAGCTCCATTTTGCTGCAACACACTAGCATTCTCAACAACAGCACGGAAAACTTCTTCAGGAGGATCACAGTGTTCAATCCTCTGCGCCACTTGTTGAATTCCAATCTAGACACAGAAGCAGTTGAAACACAAACTTAGTAATTGAAAATACGTAATTCTTCTTCAGGATACACTTATAACATTCAACTCAAAAATTACAAGGATCACAATATTGGGAAAACAGCTTTAATTTCAAAACTAATTAGAGAAATTAAAAAAACGAGCCAAAAGATTAATGATTGAGGCCGAATACATGCATAGAATATGTACAAGAATGTAGGAAATGCTACAAAATCCTATGTTGCAGAGTTTTTATTATTTTATCCATTAGTAGGGTATACAAACCTCAAAGTTTTGATTATCTGAGTTGTCCACTCCAGTTGACCTCTCACCATGCTGAGCAGTAGAAAGCGGCTGATGGGCAGCAGACCCACGACCTAGAGCTTCAGAAACAACAGGCATCATCTGTTGGACCATCCTTGACAAATCAATGCCACCACCCTGCCCTCCTACTAATCCTGAAAACATGTTTCCAAGATCCTGGCCATCAATCTGCTGAGCAATTTGATTGACAGTACTCATGATTTGGGGGCTCTGAGTGAGCTGTTGCAACATATTTCTCAAGACATCTGGAGAACCAACCCCAGTTTCCTCTGAAAACCCTGACAATAAACCATTAATCTCAGGGCTACTTAGAACCTGAGACATGGCACTGGATGTGTCAAGTTGGCCATCGGTACTGGATGTGTCAAGTTGGCCATCGGTATCTTTCCCTCCTAACTGTCCACTCTCCTTGATCCTACCAACCAGGGGTAATTGACCAGAGGATGGGTCATTTGTATCTGTCCTACTCATTCCAGAGCTAGAAGGTGCGAGAGATCGCAAAAGCTGTTGGCCAAGAGCTCTAGAAGTATTCTGATCGAGAGGAGCACTGCTTGTTCCTCCATCACCACTCTTGACCGGCGTCTTTGAAGGCTTGAATCGCTTCTGATCACATCAAAAACACAGAATTATGAACAACCAGTTCAAAGAGGACAATTAAGAAAAGAAATTAGGAAGGAGAACATTTATAAACAGAAGTGCATGACAGATATAAACAACATAATATGGGAGTGTACAGCTAAAAATACGTCTCCAAAAGAACGGGAAAATGAATCAAACAGTCATCTGGCACAATCAAGAACATCCAGCCGAACAGAAAATACCAAATACATATTTGAGTAACATCTATTCATGCTTGCAAATGTATTGAGGATTTTCTCAGGATCTTATCCTGCATAAGGACCTAAGTGCATTTTCAAAGTGTATATTCCAATAAAGACCAGCAACAAAATGTCATACCACCTTGCGCTCTAGACCACCCAGCCCCAATCCAAGTGGGACAGTTTCAGCACCCTCCGGAAGGCATTGCTTTTCACTGGATCCAGAAGCATTTTCTGAAGTGTCTTCCAACTTCACTTCATTTAGAGAGCTTGAAGAGCCTTCTGCTGAACAAGTTGGTCCATCTTTTGTGATCAAGACACTCCATGCATCTTCATTATTCCTTACTTGATGGCATTCAGGTTGAACCTATTATCATTATTAGCATTGGTCAGAAGTAAACACAAAATTACTTCCATAAGAATCCTACATTGTATACCAAGCATACCTTCTGACCTTCACTTTCAGGAATGACCCCAGCCTGGGAAACACTAAGTTCACCAACTCTGTTTACTGGCATGCTATGAGGCTGCTCATTGCCAACATCATTACCTGTATTGTTTCCACCAGATACGTTCTGCACGGTTGACTCCCCTTCACCTGCAAACAGAAAGACCAGCATTGAGAACCATACAATCATTATAAAACTTATCATTATAACAATCATTTAAAGCATTTCATGTTGACCTACCCGATGAAACCTGGTTTTCTCCTTGCATGTTACCTACCAAATTTCTAATTTGCGAATTGACTTCATTAATAACTGAGGATAGCAAGACAGAGTTCGCAGGTTGCGGAGATACAGAAAATCCTAAACCAGGTTGTGTTCCAGTGGAAATTGCAATGCCAGCAGGACGTGATGGGACAGCTGCTGCAATGACGTTCCTGACAGGTAACATCCTCAATGGAACTGGACCAGATGAATCAGCAGAACCAGTATTATTGCTGCGTTCACCCTGCACTCCATCCCCGTTACTTCCCCTAGTACCAACAGCTGAAACAACAGGTGCCAATGCGGTGCCTGATAACAGACAATGTCAGATTCCTTAAAAGTAAAAAAAGCTGGTTAAGTCTAACCTCTACCTACCAGCATGTATATGAATATTTATGTTCCTTGGGGCATTTCCTACACCAACAGGACCAAGACTTGGAGTATTAGAAGGAGCAGAACCACCAAAGAGAGAACTCGTTTGAAGAGGAAAAGGCTGCAACAAAAACACAAAATCCATGCATGGTTAGGAAAACATGAAAGATAGATCCATGACTTAAAAACTACAAAATAAAGAGACAGTGACACAGGAGAACTTATAATTTATCCACAGCCAAAAGCATCTATTCAAGTCCATCGTTTAAAAAATACATTGTGAAGAAACATAAAACATCTAATGCCTTCCTCAATGTAAGACACAATTACTACGTGTGAATAATATGAACCATGCCGGTGTGAGTATGACACCCACATATGCCGTCAACAATTAGCCTCAAACGCAATATGTAGTAACAAGGTATATAATACCAAACACTTATTGACAAACCTGAACCATTATAGGATTGGGCCCTGATGGAGATATATAAACTGCAGGTCCAGCATTGACAGAAGATTCAGCCTGCGAGTTGCATAAAACAAGAGTCAAGATTTTTTATTCACAGACTGAATCAGAGGCAGAGAGAGGATTAGGCAGAGAGAGGATTATAACATACAGGAGATTGTCCCATACGCAGTGTTAGAATCACACGACCAAGCTCTAAAAGAAGAGAACCTAAATGTTGCATCGCAAGGCCTACTTGTGCAGATTCTGCCTGAATTTGCCCCCTAATAGTTGGATCTGAAGAAGCTCCCTCTTGTTCCAAGCGTCCTGCAATATGCTACAAAATTGCAGCAGATTATAAATAACACTTAATCAGATAGTAAAGTTGACCCAAAAACAGAAAAAGATAAAGATAAATTCATGTTTATGGAACTTCATATCCAACTATATGCTATTGCATTAAATCTTGATCCTAATTACAGTAAGACAGGTATCCTAACAACAATTGCTTAATAAGGCATTCATTTCCCCTAATCTGAACCATTCACAACTACAAGTAAAATCAATAAATTATTACAATCAGAGAAAGTAAAAAGAAAGTTGATACAACTAACTTATTAAGAAATACACTACCAAGATAGCAGCATCAAAATAACAGATTTAAACACAGAATGCAATGAGTAAAAAATACAATCACCAAAGTGAAAAAGTTTCAGAGAGAGAACAACTTCATTCAAAATGAACTGTAAGAAACAGTCTATTGGCTAAACTAACATAAAAGCATAGAAACAAACAAAACTGAATTTCAAACACAGATAAAATTCCACACAGAAATAAAAGGTGAAGAAAAGAAAAAGATAATGGAAGTGTTCTTGAAAAAGTATTTACAGATAGTGCTGCAGTAGTATGACCACTGAGAAGCCTCTGAGCATGCCGCAAAATAATGCTCAACGCTTCAGGTGTTGGCAACCCCCGTCCATTGGACGGAAGTTCTACTCTGGGTATACCTTCATCGCTTGTTGAAGATG